TCGCCTGTAAATGCCAGGGTCTCCTGGCTAAAAAGGTGACCGCCGAGAACCACAATTTGCCTTACGAAATATAACCTCAGGAAACGGAACCCTATTTAGACTATGAGTAGGCCCTAATATGACGCCATTTCCACTTAGATCTCGCCGATTTCTGCCACAGAAGAAACAGCCTGTGCACAGGCAGAAATGGCTTTTCTGTGGTACGTTATAGGACATGAAATGAAATGAAATGAAATGGGGTTTAACGTCCTACTCGTTATAGGACACATTAATGTTGATGCAAGTCACTGAGGTCTCGTAGGTTCCTGTCATAAAATAGAGTTGTTCTATGCACAAGAAAAGATGGATGGTGATATATATCCATGTAATAGTTGGTTTTATCACCAGTACAAACATAATGAACAATAAGTGACAAACTTTTTAACAACACAACACGTGACATTAATAACCCCTTTATTAAAGATGGTTACCATTTTTGAAAAAAAATGAACATTAATGTCACTGGGTTTTTTTTTATCATGTGAACATGTCTGGTATTAAAACTTTACTCACTTTTTAAAGGACATCACCTACTTGTGCATTGCATCTTATCAGATTTTGTTTTTCCATTTTATTTCACAGTAAAAATAATTGATACCAGCATGATGTGTTTGGGGAGAACATTACCCTATTAGGGCAGTGAATGGATGGTGTGAGAGAGAGAGAGAGAGGAGAATTGGGAAATTCATAACTAGACAGTGGGCCTATATCAAACATAGAATAAACCCTGACCAACTGACTAAAGACAGAGAGAGAAATGGAGTTTAACGTTCACTGACACAAACTAGGTCATTTCGGGACTAACATATGGTTTATTTTATTACAATAATTTGCTTGCGCGTGACTAAAGACAGAACTTATGATCTAAAGTGCAGAGACTAGACCACTCCACGACATCAGATCACTCATTTTGATTGTCATCATACAGAACAAATCAAAAAAAAATGAAATCCAATGAAATTGACAATGACAGGTATAAGTTTGAAATATAGCCTATAGCCATTCTATTTACAATTGACTTAAACATACATTATGCAAGAGCTAAATCTGCCTATTGCAGGTCTTTCTTTAGACCTGAAATATTATCTAAATCATTAATTAGACATTAATTAACTTATCCAGAACATAATCAACTCTAGATGGCATCGCTAGCCTGAGATATTTACTGGATTTGGATCCAATTTGATGCTCAACTTTCCTTCATGGTTTAATTATGAAATGGATAATGAAGACTTTTTTTTATCGTACCGACTTTAGTAATGATGATCGAGGCTAGGACGAAAATTCAATCGCTAAAATCTCAGTTCAAGTGGATCAATTTGACTGAAATTTTCAGCAAATTCCCGTTATATTATCTTGTTTTTAACTATTATAGTGAGAACTGCCAGCACTTTATCTAATCTCCCATAATGTATCTTTCATCTACAGATTTGAACTTATCGATGTAAACAGCTACAATAAATAGATACAAATATTAAAGACAAACCCACAAATCAAAAAAACTTTAAAAATACCATCCAAAACAAAAAGAATGAAAAGAAAATGCACATTATAAATTCTCATAGTTGTGTGGGGGTTGAATGGCCAAATGGTTAGCATGTGTATCATAGCACGCAGCTGGTTCGTGTTGAAGGTCGGATATTAAACCCCCATTTTATTTAATAACTTTCCTTGTAAGTCAACTGGGGGAGTTGTATCATAAGGTCTGCCATTGAGTCAACTGGCGTGGTTTTGATTCCCCACATGTAATTGACAAGGACTAGGGTTGCCTATCTAACCTCGTGTGTTTTCTCCGGGTCCTCCAGTTTCCTCCCACTGCTAAAGACCCCTACGTGCAAGCGAATTAATAAAATAAAATTAAACCATGTGTTAGTCCCGAAATGATTTAGTTTGTGTGGAGTGGAGTTAAACCCCATCTCTCTCTCTCTCTCTCTCTCTCTCTCTCTCTCATAGTTGAGAGAAATGAAACCAAGCTATAGCCTTTTAAACAAAGATATAATAGTTGATGTTTTTATGTAGGTAATTAAAACTGTCATAGATGTAGTTTATTTTCCAACTTTTACATGTTTTGTCAGACAGTGTTGGTTTGACATATAATATTATTTATGACGCCATGTCAATGGTCGCTTGATTATACTGATGCTGTTACATCTCCTACACTGTAAAAACATTGTAAAATTTACAGAGAGAGAGAGAAAGATATTTTGATTGGGTGTAGTGGTCCTTAGCTGTGGGAGGCAACCCATAGACCCTGAGGAAACCCACAAGTTTAGGCGGACGATCCTACTCCTAATTGTCACATACAATCCTGGGATTGAGAGAGAAAGAAATGGGGTTAAAGGTCCACTCAACACATGGGACTAACATATGGTTCAATTTTGTTTTAATAATTTGCTTGCGTATATGCATCTTTAGCAGTGGGAGGAAGCCCTTTAGAAAACCGGGGAATCGAAACCACGCCAGTTGACTCAATGACAGACCTTATGATACAACCCCCCACAGGTGACTCACGAGGAAAGGTATGAAATAAATGGGGTTTAACATCCTACCTTCAACACCAACCAGCTACGTGCATCTTATGACAGTAATATTTCCACACATACTTCATCGAATTTAAACTGTCAAGGCTTCTTTTATCTATGGGGGAAGGTCGATCGAGAGAGAGAGAGAGATGGGGTTTAACTCCACCTGACACAAACTAGGTCATTTTGGGACTAACATATGGTTTACTTTTATTTCAATAATTAGCTTGAGCGTAGGGGTCTTTAGCAGTAGGAGGAAACAGGAGGACTCAGAGAAAACCCACGAGGTTGGACAGGCAACCCTTCTCCTTGTGATACAGCGCACAGGTGCTAACCATTCAGGGTGAATGGTTAATGCTGCAGGTTGCATTACAAGGAGTAGTGTTGGCTGTACAACCTTGTGAATTTTCTACGGGTCCTCCAGTTTCCTCCCACTACCAAAGATCCCTATGCGCAACTAGAAAAGGAAATGAAATGAAATGGGGTTTAACGTCCGACTGTTCTGCTCCTAACCTGTGCTAATGAAGACGGGCATATGCCATACAGTGTGCTATGAGGGAAATTTTGCCCGGGCAGCGGCACTACGGCCTACTCTTATATCGAACTCCAACTGCCAAGGGATCTTTTACATACATGCCAATCCTGTATCAGAAAAGTAAGGGGTAAAACCCATTTGGTTTCATTTTATAAAGAATTCAAGATATTTTTTTATACCAGTCCGGGTCCTGTTCTAGTTTTTAATAGGCTATAATTTATCTTCCTGGTAGATATAGCCAGTAATTATGTCTTATATTTATAACGACCGAATCTTTTCATCTGTAAAATTATACGATATATATTATAAACCTGCACAAGTGCACGTCCCATGAACAAAATAAACCTGATACTATAGCTCGTCACAACAATTGCTTGAATACAGGATCTAAATGAGGATTGACAATTAGGGTTCAGTGTCCTACTTTTCTGCACTATCAAAGACAGGTAATCACCATGGCAGCGAAGCCACAGTAAGATGTTGGCTCGTTAAACTGGAGTTCCCGTGTTCGATCCCTTCGTTGACAGAGACAGATCTTCAGGATTTTCTGCACTATCATGGCTGTTGAAGACAGGCATTCACAATGGCAGGGGAGCCACGATGGCTCAGTGAGTAAGACCTTGGCTCATTAACCCTGAGATCCCGTGTACGATCCTCCGTTGGCTGAGAAAGTTCATCAGGATTATCCGGAGTGGTCCCCCCTTGTCTGTGGTGCAGGGTCTGGCAAGTCACTTGGATGGGACACTGCTAATGACCCCTACGTGCAAGCAAATTATTGCAATGAAATAAAACCATATATTGGTCCTGAAATGACCTAGTTTGTGTCGAGTGTAGTTAAAACCCATCACTGGTGTAGGATAAAAGGTCTGTCAAGGACAACTGTCTAGTCATTCGGATGGGACAAAAACCAAGGTCCTGTGTACACATTGGTGTGCACATTAAAGATCCCTTGGCAGTTGAAATTCGATATTAGAGTAGGCCGTAGTGCCGCCGTCCGGGCAAAATGTCCCCATAGTGCACTATAAAGTGTATGCCCATTAGTCCAGTCGGAGCGGAACAGTGGGACGTTCAACCCCATTTTATTTCATTTATGTTATATTTATAAACTTATTGACACCCCAACTTTCATTATTTTCTTGAAGTCCGCAGCATCAAATTGTGTCTTGTGGGACAGGACTAATAAAGACTGTATTGTAATTGTATGACGTTAGGTGTTCGGGATTATGTGACGTTATTGTTGATTTCGTAAGATTTAAATAAAATGGGTTTAGAATTACCAAGGACAAACAGTAATATATCACTGTCAACGTGTTGTGATTTGAATATATCGTTTTTTATGTTTTCTTGTTAGAATTAAGTTAGCGTAGCAGGGAAATAAATGTATGATTGTATGTACTGTGTGATTCTTTGTATATCTGAGGACAGATTTATATTGTTCTGTCTTGTGTGCTTGTTCATACATCAGGGGTCATATAAATTGTTCTGTCTTGTGTGATTGTTCATACATCAGGGGTCATATAAATTGTTCTGTCTTGTGTGATTGTTCATATATCTAGGGTCATATAGATTGTTCTGTCTTGTGTGATTGTTCATACATCAGGGGACATATAAATTGTTCTGTCTTGTGTGATTGTTCATATATCTAGGGTCATATAGATTGTTCTGTCTTGTGTGATTGTTCATATATCAGGGAACACCTAGATTATTCTGTCCTGTGTTACGTAGCCTGCAGGGAATTCTCTTTGGCACACTCAGGTAGACATGTATAAATTCCATGCCTGGGGTCGTGCATTTCATTTCTCGACAGTTTGAATTGTAAAATATATTTTAACAGTGTTATATTACAACAGGTCATACAACTCTTTATAATTTTTTACACGTGATGTATTTTATTGTAATTTTAGGACGGCAAGTGGAGAGCGTATTGGTGTGTTCTAAGGGGATCAACCATATTCATATTCACATCTCCTGAAACCATACAGGATAATGTAAGTTACTCTTTAATTAGTATTCTTGTTTATTTATTGTTCATTTTGGTTGCATTTGATCAACAGGTAGTAAGGGTGCAGGCATGGAATTAGTAAACTTTATCAGATCAAGATTGCATTTAATTGGTAGGCTTAATCCAGATTGCATTTAATTGGTAGGCTTATTCCAGATTGCATTTAATTAGTAGATTTAAGATTTAATCAGGGTTGCATTTAATCAATAGATGTAATCAGGATTACATGCAATTATTAAGCTTAATCCAGATTGCATTAAATTAGTAGATTTAATTCAGACTGCATTTGTTTTAGTAGGCTTTATCCAGACTACAATTAATTAGTGGACTTAATCCGGGTTGCATTCAATTAGTAGGCTTAATCCGGGTTGCAAATAATTAGTGGGCTTAATCCAGACTGCAAATAATTAGTGGGCTTACTCCAGGTTGCAATCAATTAGTGAGGCTTAATCCAGGCTACATTTAATTAGTAGGCTTAATCCAGACTGCATTATTTTAGTAGATTTTATCCAGGCTGCTTTTGATTAGTGGGCGTATTCTGGGTTGCAATAAATTAGTGGGCCTAATCCAGGCTGCATTTATTATAGGCTGATTCCTGACATTACATTTAATAAGTAGGCTTGATCAAGACTGCTTTTAATTAATAGACCTAATCAGTGCTGTGTCTGGCATTGTGCATAAGTTTTATATTTGAGGCCTTAGCTAAAAGAACTTGCTGAAATCTTAGATTGTTTTTTGGTGGCAGTGACAAGGGATCTGAGATTTATTTTGCAGAATCTGAGATTTATTTTGCAGAAGTGACGAGGGACTTGTGATTTTTTTCTAGCTAGCTCGTTATCATTACTCATGCATATCACCTTTTTATTATAAACTTATACAATATACCACTGTTCATAAGCATTAATTTATTGATGTGCCCTACAGCCTACTCATATTTCAATTTTTTATTGTCAAGAGTTGTTTTATGTGCTCGGCAAGATGTATATGGGACGTTGATTTATTCGTCACATCTGAGCGACTAGATGCTGCTGTACCCTGCCAGGCCCTTCATCCTGCACCAGGCTAGAACATCCCTAAGATTAATCTTGGGACAACCTGGTGAGGTAGCGAGCCCCTCACCCACTGAGCCACTGTGACTGGGATATACATTAAAGTGGGCTGCACAGAAATGTTGCTCTCTGAGCAATATTATTTTCTCTCTCATTGGACATGTAACCTTATCGAATTCCAACTGTGCAAATCAACTACCCCTCCCCCCCACCCCAAACCTATCTACCCCCCGCACCAAAAAAAGCCATATCCTCCCCCAAATACCCCCCCACCATACTCCCCCCCTCCAACATACCCCCCCCCCCCACATATCTTCCTCTTCCCCCACATACCCACACGTCTTCGCCCAACAAGCCATTTCTTCCCACCCCCATGCCTTACCTCAACTACACCATCCCCATCTTCCCCCAATAAGCCTTATGTCCCCCACAGCCCCCCCCCCTTCCCTCCACTACCCCCCTACCCTCCAATGCCTTCTCCACAATAACCCCCATCTTCCACCCTTAATCAACTTTTATGTCAAAATACATTTTAAATTTGTCTTTGTTTTAAAGACACTTGATTCTGGAATGTTTTTGCATTTTAATCCATCATTTTAATCCACCACGTCTCCGGTTAAATATATAATTTAAATAATATTTGCTTAATGTCGTTTCTGTTTTGATATACATTATATTATTATGGCACATATGAGACGTTTTCACAATTAATGACGTCTGTAAAACCAAATATAGGACTTCAATAAATCTCATTGCTCATGCCACATCATTTACGAAAATGGCCAGAAAATAAAAAATACTTTTATTGTGAAATGAAATGACATGAAAATGGGGTTAAAGTGAGTTTATCGTTTTACATTTTTGCATCAATGAAGTCATACATATGAAATAATATCCAATACCCTCTAGATATAAATTTTCGACCAAATTACCATATTTGGTTATAAAAGTCTCCCCCAATAAAACACATACGTATTACATTAAGAGAATAGATACCTGCGTGGAACAACTTCTCTCAGTGACAGTGAGTGTTATTAATTATAGTCATTATGCTGCATTAGACAATATCAATAATATCAATCACTCCACTGGACAATATCAATAATATCACTCAACTAGACAATATCAATAATATCAATCACTCCATTGGACAATATCAATAATATCAGTCACTCCATTAGACAATATCAATAATATCAATCACTCCATTAGACAATATCAATAATACCAATCACTCCACTGGACAATATCAATCACTCCATTAGACAATATCGATAAAACCAATAAGTCCATTATAGACAATATCAATAATACCAATCACTCCACTGGACAATATCAATCACTCCATTAGACAATATCAATCACTCCATATTGGACAATATCAATAAAACCAATAAGTCCATTATAGACAATATCAATAATACCAATCACTCCATATTGGACAATATCAACTAAATTAAAAAAAAGCCAAGCACGTCCATTGGACATTAGACAATATCAATAATACCAATCACTCCATTAAATGATATCAGTAAAACCCATCACTCCATTTTTGACAATATTACCCCCCCCCCCCCCCCGCCCCCCCCAAAAAAAAATGCCAAGCACATCCATTGGACAATATTAATAATACCAAGCGCTCCATTTTGGACACTATCAATAATACCAATCACTCCATTTAACAATATTAATTATAGCAAGCACCTGCATTGGATAATATTAATAATAGCGAGCACTCCATTTTGGACAATAGGCCTATTATATATTTAATTTGTATGTTGAGTCATTTTATTATAAATATATTGTATTCATCTGTTTGCTTTCATAGAGTCAAGCCACAAAACACACAACCAAATAAGCTTGCTCTGTTTATATGTTGAGTCAGTTTATTCTATTATTATGTTATTTATTATCTGCAGCATAAGGGAACGTTAGAGATCAACAACGACACAAGATTTATTGTTGGTGATTCAGACTTGAAGAAAGAGTCTTTCAGATTTGATCTACGGACCACCAAACATTTTAACAAATTTAAAGTAAGTATATAATAGTATATATATCGTCTGGGTTTTTTTTATTCAGAGAGAGAGAAACAGAGAGAGAGAGAGAGAGAGAGAGAAACAGAGAGAGAGAGAGAGAGAAACAGAGAGAGAGAGAGAGAGAGAGAGAGAGTAGAGAGAGAGAAACAGAGAGAGAGAAACAGAGAGAGAGAGAGAGAGAAACAGAGAGAGAGAGAAACACAGAGAGAGAGAGAGAGAGAGAGAGAGAGAGAGAGAGAGAGAGTAGAGAGAGAGAAACAGAGAGAGAGAGAGAAACAGAGAGAGAGAGAGAGAGAGAAACAGAGAGAGAGAGAGAGAGAGAGAGAGAGAGAGAGAGAGAGATTAAGAGAGAGAGAGAGAAATGAGGTTTAACGTCCACTCGACACAAACTAGGTCATTTCGGGACTAACATATGTTTTTTTTAAAATTCAATAATTCGCTTGCGCGTAGGGGTCTTTAGCAGTGGGAGGAAACCGGAGGACCCGGAGAAAACCCACGAGGTTGGACAGGCAACCCTACTCCTTGTCACGTACAACCGGGGATTCGAAACCACGCCATCCAACCCCATTTCATTTCATTCAGTACAACGTTGGCAGCTCATGCAAGATCCCCAAACAATTTGTTCATTTAGTATGACGATGGCAGCACGTGCAACATCCCCAAACAATGTGAAATCAAGATTATTGAAGATCGGGGGGGGGGGGGGCCAAATGGTTAGCATGTGTGCACTGTATAATAAGGTCTATGATTGAGTCAACTGGCGTGGATTCAATTCCCTGGTTGTACGTGACAAGGAAGAGGGTCGCCTGTTCGACCTCTTGGGTCCTCCCACTGCTGAAAAACCCTACGCGCAAGCAAATTATTGAAATAAAATTAAACCATATGTTAGTCCCGAAATGATCTAGTTTGTGTCGAGTGGACGTTATACCCCATCTTTCTCTATCTTTCACTGAAGACCGAGTTTTTCCCATAACACACTGCATGTCATATATCTGTCTTCATTAATCTGGTTGTTGGAGACAAGCACGACGACCGTTAAATCCCAGTCCATGTTATTTTCTGTATTTTGTTTCTGAGATATTTTCTGTTTTTATTTTGTCTGTGTTGTTCGGACATTAATGTCAGTCTGTCCTGACATTAATATGTAATTATGACATATCTTGATAGCTGTGATTTCATTCTGCGTAATTTCAGTGCAAGAAATTTTCTGAGCGTGAACTATGGCGAGCGTATATAATTGGAATATCCACGGTAAGAACTTTTCCATTTTTCTTTTCTGCTAATTATCTAAATACTATTATTAGTTAGAATACAGATGTGATGTCATCCTTTGATGTTGGCGTACCACATTGATCAGCAGTGAATATTCGCTAGTCCGCTACAATCACTGATAAGGATGACATCGATGTGGCTTAATGAGCCCCCAATATTAACTTTTTTCCTTCTGGAAATTAAATTCTAGAACATTTTGTTTTATGCATTAGAAAAATAAATAAAGGTGTTAGAAGTATATGTAGGTAAAAAAATATGTCCAATTTAGTGTAAATGGGTATGTGAAATGAGTAAAAAGCACCATTCTGCCCGAACCGGGAGTGTCTTATGTAAACAATGCTCGTGCCATTAAGCCAATGATTGACTCTGTGTGATGTGACATCACATGATAAAGCAGTTATCTTTTACAGAGCTATTAGTCTTCGCAATCCCCTGTGAAACAGATTGGTTGGGGTACCATTATTTCAATGTGCCAAGCGTACATTATTTATACTAGTTAAAATATTGGATCTGTGTCCGTGTGTCGTATTTCATTGAAATGCGCGCGCTTGATAGTCTTGTGTATGACATTGCGTAATATGTAATTATATAGCCCTCGTGCTAATGAACTCTTGCAATATCAATATATTACGCAATGTCTCAGCCGTGACCATTAAACTACACTTACTTTCCTTTTTTACCTAACTGTTATTGTTATTAGACATACATTATTCAAGAGCTAAATCTGTGTATTGCAGGTCTTCTTTAGTCCTGAAATGTTATCTAAATTATTAATTAGACATTATTCAAGAGCTAAATCTGCCTATTGCAGCTCTTTCTTTTGTCCTGACATGTTATCTAAATTATCAATTAGACATTTATTGAAAAGACCTTAATCAACTCTAGATGTCATAGCTAGCCTGTGATATTTACTGGATTTAAATGCGATCTGCTGCTCAACGCTCATTGATGATTAAATCCAAAAATGGATAATCGAGGCTATGTTTTTTTATTGTACCAATTTTAGTAATGATGATCGAGGCTAGGCCTGACATTAAATAGCTAATATCTCAGTTCAAAGTAATTCTGCATATAAAAGAGACAATTAAGGGACAGGACGGTAAAAAGGACCCCCAAAACTAGAACTGTTCCCTGTATAACCGGTACATATAGTAACATGTCTATCTAACCTTGTGGATATTTGTCTGGGTTCTACAGAAAGCAGGGACATTGAAACCCATTCATTTCAGTTTTTGATTTAAGCCATTCACACATATAGATAAGTAACTTTTCCAATAGCTAGTCAGAAACTCAGTATGACAAGACCTTGGACCTGAACGGCCTCCTAACCAACAGTAACAAACAGATACCTGGGGCGGCCGATGTACCAGCTTCTCGGTATTTTAGCCAGTTTTTCAGGTGCAAGGGTCATAAGGGTTCATAATATTACCCAAAAAATTTTTTTGTCCATTTTTACCCCTTCGAGGCTAGTATATAGGCATATAGGCTAATATCGCAGACCTCAGGAGAGTGGGAGATGGGTGCAGGCGGTGTGCCACACCAGGGCCCATAGATTCTATGGGGCCCATGAATATCAAAGTTCAAGTCTGCTAGTGAATCATCTAGATATGACCAGTGTTGGAGAGGGAAGGGGGGGGACAAAGAGGTCTTGCCCCAGCACATTTTCTTCCTCTCAAGGGCCCGGTAATATCGTTCCGGGTTTCGGTGTCCAATGGGTTAAAGACAATTTGATATAGAACAGTAATAAAAACCTAGAATACCCATTTACACCTGATAATAAAAACCCCAAAGGGTTAAAAACAATTTAATATAGAACAGTAATAAAATATAGATTACCCACTGAAAAGGGATAATAAAAAACCCTGTTCAGGATGTTTATGACTATAAAAACTAAAATGCAATTTGATATTAACGTAATGTAAGCATTTTAAAAAACTTCCTGATTTACATATTGAAATAAATTTAGGTCAAGACGGTTATCAGGTAAATATATTTGAACAAAGAGAAATAAAACCAGGAAGGTTTATCGGTGTCAAATCTAGTCAATAGTGAAATATCTTAGCTGAAAAAAAACATGTCTATTAGATTTTTTAATATGTAGTAACTAGAGAGAAACTAGGTCATTTCGGGACTAATATATGCATCCATTTTATTTCAATAACATGTTGGGGGGTTGGATGGCCGAATGGTTAGCACATGCGTGCTGTATCATAAAGTCTGTCATTGAGTCAACTGGCATGGTTTCGAATCCCCAGTTGTATGTGACAAGGAGTAGGGTCGCCTGTCCAACTTCGTGGGTTTTCTCTGGGTCCTCCGGTTTCCTCCCACTGCTTAAGACCCCTACGCGCAAGCGAATTATGGAAATAAAATTGAACCATATGTTAGTCCCGAAATGACCTGGTTTGTGTCGAGTGGATGTTAAACCCCATTTCTCTCTCTCTATCTCAATAACATGCTCGGATGGGTCTAAAACTAAAAACCAGTGAACACATTGGCATGCACATAAAAGATCCCTTGTCCCACCATGACAGTGAAGCAGGACGGAGGGCCGGGCAAAGGACAATGAATAGTCGTTCGGATGGAAAAAAAACACAAGGTCCTGTGTGCATAATATTGGTATGCACATAAAAGATCCCTTGTTAGTTGGAATTCAATATAAGATTAGACCGTAGCACCGTTGTCTAGGCAAAATTTCCCTCATAACACACTGCATAATGTATGCCTGTCTTCATTAGCCATTCGATACAGACAAGTAGGATGTTAAAACCCATTTCATTTCATGTCCAGAGGTTGGGTGTTCAATCCCTGCATTGGCCGAGAAAGTTCATCCAGATTTTCCGGGGTGGTTCCCCCTTGTCAGTGATGCAGGACGGAGGGCCTGACAAGGACAACCGTCTAGTCGTTCGGATGGGACAAAAAAAAAAACGAGATCCCGTGGCAAATTGGCGTGCACGTAAAAGATCCCTTGACAGTTGGAATTCGATATAAGAGTATGCCACAGTGCCACTGTTCGGGCAAAATTTCCTTCATAGCATACTGTATGGCATATGCCCGTTTTCATTAGCCCAGTCGGAAAAGAACAGTAGAACGTTAAACACCATTTCATTTCATTTTTCACTTTATGTCCCCTCAAATTTTAAATAAACTTTTTGCAGAGTAAAATGTATTTCTATATACAGGTACCCCTTAGTTTTATTTCTGTCATGGTGATGTGTTTAACCACATTGATGAATTTGTTTGAGAAACACCACAAAAAAATGAAATATATGACATATATCAGACAACAAGTACAAAGGAATTCTGTCTCGTTGATTGATGTGAAACTTGTTTAATATAAGGTTAAAAATAAAGTATCGAACTAGGATGACCTCATATTAATTCTGTCTTCGTTAATTCGATAGGAGTAGAACAGTAGGACATTAAATCCCCACTATATTTCATTTAGTGTTGGGCCTTGCTCTATTGAATTAGTGTTGGGCCTAGCTGTATTTAATTAGTGTTGGGCCTAGCTGTATTTAATTAGTGTTGGGCCTAGCTCTATTTAATTAGTGTTATACCTAACTCTATTTAATAAGTGTTATGGTTCATTCTCACCCAGCTCAAAACTTAAATAATCATGTTAGCGTGACTAAGGTGTTAATTGGAATTTCTAAAGAAGGATTAGCTGTAGTCTGTTTCACATTGGGCACTGTTTATTTCATTAGGTTAAACCTAATAGTAAAACAAAATCACTTGATAATGTTTTATTCAACATTTATTATAGTAAAACATGTTTATTTTAACACTTTTAATGTAAATGGAAAAACTTAATATAAAAAATAAATAACTAAATAGCACTATGAAATGAGCATCAACATTAAAAATATATATTTCATATGGGCATAAACATTTCATACTTTTTACTCTAAATGGACAAGATGAGATACCGCATCTACATAAAGCATGATGTCTCTTTGACCATTTCGGAACTGATCTTTCAATGCTTGAAGTCTCTCTTCTGGTTCACGTAGGCTTTCTTCTTTGGCCTGGAAATGCCGTTAGCACTGAGCTGTACAATTCTTATTCCAGTCAGCGTCTGCTCTCTTTTCAGCACAGTAGGTTTTAATTGAACCAAATTGATTCATTACTTTGTAAAAAATCACTCATTAAACACAGTTCACATGACACTTATTAAACACAGTTCACATGACACTTATTAAACACAGTTCACATGACACTTATTAAACGGTTAATCCATATCTAATTAGGTGAACACATTTCAGCTAAAGACCATAATCCCCCAGCCCTAAACCCTTAATCCCCTTAATCAATATTTTGAGCTGGATGAGAACACCCCAGTGTTATACCTAACTCTATTTAATTAGTGTTGGGATAAGATGTATTTGATTAGTGTTATGCCTAGCTCTATATGATTAGTTTTGGACCTAGCTTTATTTAATTAATGTTGGGCCTAGCTCTATTTAATTACTGTTGGGTCTAGCTCTATTTCTTCATAAAGATTGAATTGTAAGTTTCTGCCAGATTTGTTTTCAATTTGGTGTGATGCCTTGGGGGTCATGAGAGAAAGACAAATCCTACCGATTTTTAATATTCCACGAGTACGACCTTTTGTTCACAAAGTGGGTTAAAATATTAAATTTAAGCAAAGATCGATTGTGACTCCATAAAATAAATCAACACATCAAAGGACATAAAATCGACAATTTTGTTTTTGTCCTGGATAAATCTGAGGTGCCAATACTAGGCCAATTCGAGACTGACACCCACGTACAAGCGAATTTTTTAAAGATACATTATGCAAGAGCTAAATCTGCCTATTGCAGGTCTTTCTTTAGGCCTGAAATGTTGTCTAAATTATTAATTAGACATTAATTAACTTATCCAGACCATAATCAGCTCTAGATGGCATGGCTAGCCTGAGATATTTATTGGATTGGAATCCAATCTGCTGTTCAACGCTCATTGATGATTAAATCAAAAAATGGATAATCAAGACTTTAGTAATGATGATCGAGGGTGGATCAATGTGATCGAAATTTTCAGCAAATTCCCTTTACATTATCTATTATTTAACTATTATAGTGAGAACTGCCAGCTCTTTATCTAATCTTCCATCATGCCCCTTTAAATAGACAAATAGTGTATCATTATTTAAAAATTTCCTGCATTGAAGAAAACATTTCTTATTGAATAGGCCGGTTTTCTGTACCACCATAATTAGATAAATAAAAATTACATGGCATTTGTTTGCTCACATTTCTCCATCTTTTCACAACATCACAAACCATCATTTACATGAACGAATCTTATTTATTTAAGATACTCTTATAGAAAAACCTAGATTGTCATAGCAAATTAAAATTTTACAGTTTGTATGGCCACATAGTTTTGAATTTTTATTCTTGGAAACAACAGTTTAAACTTTGTTTCTGAATAAGTACTTGCTCGCGCACCCTACCGCTTTGTGTTCCACCATTTTATATTGCCACATTTTAAAGTTTTGAAATGTTAAACAATTTTTATTTATCGAGAATAGAAATTAATTATTTGTTTTGGCCCACCTACTAGTATAAAATTATAGAATTTGTTTTGGTAGCTTTGAGAATCTGTCTTATGTTTAAGACAAGATGTTTATTATATATTCTAGAATAAGAGTTTGGGCGGGGGTGGGGGTGGATGTGCTTTAGATCACAAGGTTTGTCATTGACTCAAGTGACATGGTTTCAAATGCCCACTTACATGTGACAATGAGTCAGATCACCTGTCCGACCTTGTGGGTTTTCTCCGAGTCCTCTGCTTTCCTCCAACTTCTAAAGACTCCTACGCGCAAGATAATTATGGAAATAAAATTGAAGCCAATGTTAATCCTGAAATTGCCAAATTTGTGTTGAGTAGAGGTTGACCCCCCCCCCTCTCTCTCTCCCTCTCTCTCTCTCTCTCTCTCTCATTTACATAGGGTTTTTAAACAATGGCCTTTAAATTGTCAAGTTTGTTTAAGACCACTGTAGAGAATTCATCATAGCTGTCATAATGTCATACGCTATACTAAATATAAGACACAATAAATGGTGACATATCACAGCTTTATTTTATGGTGTTATGATTTAAAATAAGACATCTGCATCCTGCCCAGGCAGACAACTACTCCACAGGTAGAACACTAGTCTGTCAGTGGCAGTTGACACACATGGCATACCAGCGCCATCTGCATCCTGCCCAGGCAGACAACTACTCCACAGGTAGAACACTAGTCTGTCAGTGGTAGTTGACACACATGGCATACCAGTGCCAGATCCCTCAAGCTTTAGGAACCCCCCTTAGTCTAATTAAAGGACAATATGTGATAGAGCTGGTTAAACACATTCCAAATATAGTTTTAACACAGAGATTATTGCTACGATAGCTGAGTAATACAGGTTTCCTGAATCGGAAGTGACGAACGCCAAAGGAAAACACGAGTCATCTCTCTATATAACTGACTGATGTGACGAGTGATAACGGATATACAGGCGAATTTCTGCTCACTAATAAGACCTACAATAGGCAGATTTAGCTCTTGCATAATGTATGTTTAAATTATTATCTGTGAATTTCTATTTATACAGGGTTACAGATGGTACTCTATAAATCTCCATTATTATTATTATTATTGTTATTGTTATTATGATTGTTATTGTTATTATTATTATTGTTATTGTTATTATTATTGTTATTATTATTGTTGTTGTTATTATTATTGTTATATTTCTACAGGGTTCAATACCAGATGATCTTGATTTAATGAAGGGCCAGATTTGTATGATTAGAGATGAAATAGAACAGTTTCACCAAAACAGAAATCAGCCATTGTTGCCTAGACGACGGCTTGAAAGTGACAGTTCTCCCTCTCCCTCTGGTGGGAGTGTAAACTCCGGCTTCTCTAATCCCGAAGATAGTATAGACGAAAAATTCGCTGTTTATCTAGAAATGAATAACCCAAGTAATGGTGGACCGTTTATGGTAAGAAAGGATTTATATCGCCAACATTCTAATGTGAATCTATTGTCGTCGCCCTGTTTGTCACAAATTTGATTCGATTTTGATGAAAATTGAAATATGGGTTTAAATCCCAAAGATCTTGGTTCCTGTCGATATTGGCATGTATCGGACCGTAAAATCCTGGATTATGGCCCCTTATTGTACAGAAATCGCTTTTTTAGCTTGTTATCAGTCCATCTTTTGCAAAATGTGGGCATATCTTGAATGATAATTGCATGTTTCAGTTTTAATAAAAGATAAAGAGGAAAATGGGATTTATCTTCCAATTGCCACAAACTAGGTTGTTTCGGTACTAACATATGGTACAACTTTAAGACCCTTACTTGCAAACGAATTATTGAAATAAATTTGAACCATATGTTAGTCCCGAAATGAACTAGTTTGTGTCTAGTAGCCATTAAACCTCTCTCTCGCTCTCTCTCTCTCTCTATCTCTCTCACTCATGTTCTAAACCTAATAATATCTATGATAAGACAACCAATCAGTAATCAAAGTCATTCAAAAAATTTATCGATCAAGGTAATTCAATGTTTTATTTTCATCCAGTTTAAATCTTTTAAGTTGATCATCAGAATTAAAGCATGAATATTTTACTATCCTTCATCCTTTTTTTTTCAGCGGCATAAATTTTGGAATGAACATGATCGGACAGATGTTCCTAGGTAGGTGTAATCTATTTTGATTAGAATCAAGAGGCGTTGTTTGCCTTGGTTGTTGGCACTGCTACTTGCGATGGAAATGGTACCGAGGTTAGCGAGTTAGATGTGTATACACATGTTCGAACCTCACTCTAGCTGTATGTCAAGTCCTTGTGTCCTAGTAACCTAAGGACAGTTACATGTTTGAATCTAGCTGTGAGAACGTAACTAAAAACGCTGAGATATACTGATGTGCTTGTTTTTAGCTACGATTGGATGCCTTTAGTTCCAAGTGGCAAACTCAATTTCTTTATTAATGTATGTACCATCTTAAAAATAAGTTAATTTTATACTATTAGTATTTATTACACATACACAGCCCAATCTACTGAAACAACATTCATTTATCAGCATATTAAATCAAGCGTTGTTTTTATTAAAATTGATTCGGACGTTCATAATTACGGCGTATTACTACTGTGCAACTCTGATCAGATTAGTACTTTGATTGGCTATTGCACACGAGGCCCCACTTTATGTGTTACAGACGTAAATTTAAAATGTCGGAAAAAGCAATCTGTCGCTTTGATTTAAAAAGAGGAGATTTGTACCCGTGTCAGGTAGAATTTTCTGCTTAATTGTAGTTGGATGTGGCAGAAATATTATAAATAACAATAATCAATCATTGTTTTGATTAAAAATATTGTCAATTTTTTTTACAAATGCTGAGTGCGAATCGCTCCTGCATGTGCTACATTGAAGTTAATAGCATCAACTCTTATCTCGAAACACGGAGGATTGAGAGATAAGGTTTGTTATCTAGTTTGAATCTTACTCTGGCTGTGTCGCGAGTCCTTGTAATGAAAAAGTTTGGATGGGACAAAAACCGAGGTCCCGTGTACACATTGGGGTGCACGTAAAAGAACCTGTAACAGTTGGAATTCGATATAAGAGTAGGCTGTAACGCCGCTGCCCGGGCAAAATTTCCCTCATAGCACACTGTATGGCGTATGCCGGTCTTCATTAGCTCAGTCGGAGCAGAACAGAAGAACATTAAACCCTATTTAATTTCATTTTTTGATAACTTTGTTTTGTTTTCAGTTGGTTTTTTGTGAACTGTACGCGTGAACTTGCAGAGAAGATTTTGAAGAAAAATCCTGAGTTTGGTAATACGTTGATGAGAGAAAGCTGTAGCTATCGGGGGAACGGAAGTTACACCATTACTAAACACGTAAATATTGGAGGGTGTGTACTAATTCTTATTATTATTATGATCATAACATATTGATTTGATATTTATTTGTTTATTTCTTGCAATGTCTGTGTATTTTGTCTTGTCCCGAAGGTTTGTTTGCATGTAGTGCTGTCCACCTTGTACTTGCTTACTATTTGATTCTGTCATTGAGTCAAGTGGCGTGGTTTCGATTCCCCGCTTGTACTTGACAAGGAGTAGGGTTGTCTGTCCAACCTCCTGGGTTTCCTCTTGGCTCTCCGGTTTCCTCCCACAGCTAAAGACCCCTACGCACAAGTGAATTATTGGAATAAAATTGAAACACATGTCAGTCCCGGAATGACCTAGTTTGGGTCGAGTGGAGGTTAAATCCCATTTCTCTCTCTCTGTAGATGTAAACAACATAAAAGTGAAAAGTACTGTGTCTATTGTAGTTCTAATTAGACTATTTATAAATCTAGACTGTTATTCCCCTTGTCAGTGATGCAGGATGGAGGGCCTGACAAGGACAGCTGTCTAGTCATTCGGATTTGACGAAAAAATGAGGTCCCATGTACATGGCGTGCACGTAAAAGATCCCTAGACAATTGGAATTCGATAGAAGAGTAGGCCATAGTGCCACTGTCCAGGCAAAATTCCCCTCATAGCACACCGTATGGCGTATGCCCGTCTTTATTAGCCTAGTTCGGAGTAGGACATTAAACCCCATTTCATTTCATTTCATTTAGACTGTTATCGCCAGTATAATAAATTCAATATTTATACATCTGATGTTGTAGGGATTCATTGGTACATTTTGAAGTAATAAGAGTTGCCGCTGGTTACAAGATCAATGCTGAGAATGCAGTGAGTTATTTATCTTCAGATTTCACTTTATGTCCACAAATACTTAATAAATATCTACAAATATTTAAAGATACATTATGCAAGAGCTAAATCTGTCTATCGCAGGTCTTTATTTAGGCCTGAAATGTTTTAGAAACTGTTAATTAGACATTTATTAACAAAACAAGACCATAATCAAAAAATGGGAAAGCGAGGTTAAGTCTCGATTATCCCAGTGCCCTGGTTACCACAATGCACACATCTTGTCAAAACTACAAACAGTGATAACTTGGCTCAGAATGAAGTAATTTGAATGAAATTTTCAATATTTTCATTTTATATTATCTATTTTTGAGCTATTATAGGAAGAATGATCAGCTCTTTATCTAAATCTTACATAATGTATCTTTAATATCATGCATGTCTATACACTGTGAATGAGTGCAGTTAGTCATAGTATGTTTTTTCCTTATAAATATAACGGAAAAGACTTCTTGTATCGGGATAGACTAAACAAAAGGTGTTTTGTTAAAATTATATTGCGTAATCGTTTTTTATGCTTTAATGGTATTCAAACATTTATTTAGACAACTGAAGACAAATTAATGACTTTGATATATCTACAGTTACTTTATTGATATATCTACAAAAAATTTATTGATATATTTACAAATAATTTATTGATATATCTACAAAAAATCTATTGATATATCTACAAATACGTAATAAATTCTCCTCCATACACTCAACAATTGAAATAATAATAACCATATTTTCTCAAAATGACTGGTTGGGTGGTTGTATTGTGTGACGCATGCACTTTAGATCATAAGGTCTGCCATTGAGTCAAGTGGCATGGTTTCAAGCTCACAATTGTTTGTGTCAAGTAGTAGGATCGCCTGTCTAACCTTGTAGTTTTTCGCTGGGCCCAAGGTTTTCTCCCACAGCTAAAGACATATATAGTGCCGCCGTCTGGGCAAAATTCACCTCATAGCACACTGTATGGCGTATGTCCGCCCTCATTAGCCCAGTCGGAGCAGAACAGTAGGACATTAAACCCCATTTCATACCATTGTTTTTATTTCAGCCACAAATCTCCACCTATTTATCTGATGTTATGACACATTTTGTCCACCTTTCTGTTAATAAAATTGAACCATATGTTAGTCCTGAAATGACCTAGTTTGTGTTGAGTAGACATTAAACCCCACTTCTCTCTCTTGTCTCAAAAGGACCCAAGTCATTAATTTATCTGTTTGTTTTATTTCAGCCACAAGTATCCACCTGTTTGTCTGATGTCATGTCACATTTTGTTCACCTGTCTGGAGCACAAGCTACCAAACTCTTCCTGACAAATAACCTGAAAAAATTAGGACTAGATAATCCCGACTATCAAACAAAGATTGTTACCCAACGACCAGGTTCGAATTTCATCTTTTTTTTTTTTACATATTCTTTAAAGTAGGAGCCCTGGTGGCTCAGTGTGTCAGGCACTGGCTCACCAACCAGGAGGTCGAGGGGTTGATCCTGGTGTTGGCTGTGAAAGTTCTTCAGGATTTTCCAGACTGACGGTGACTCAATGAGTAAGACATTAGCTCGCTAATAGGGGGGGTTGGATGGCCGAATGGTTAGCACATGCGTGCTGTATCATAAAGTCTGTCATTGAGTTAACTGGCGAATTATTGAAATAAAATTGAACCATGTGTTAGTCCCGAAATGACCTAGTTTGTATTGAGTGGACGTTAAACCCCATTTCTCTCTCTCTCCAGCTCGCTTACCTGGAGGTCTCGTGTTCAATCCCTGCATTGGCCGGCAAGGTTAAGCCTTGTCAGTGATGCAGGACAGAGGGCCTAGCAAGGGAAAAAAAGGAGGTCCCATGTACACATTGACGTGCACGTAAAAGATACTTTGGTAGTCGGAAGCCGATGTAAGAGTTGGCCGTAGCACTGCCGTCCGGGCAAAATTTCCCTCATAGCACACTGGCAAAAAAAAATAGACTGGATGGTACAAAAAAAACCAACATGAGTTCCCATGTATACCATGGGTAGCATGTTGGAAAAAAACCCCAACAATTCAAAATCGAAGTATCACTGTCCGTGCAAAATTTCCCACATAGCACACTGCATGGCACATGCCCATTTTAACTAGCCCAGTTGATACAGAAACATAAGACGTTAAACCCCATTTCATTCCTTCATGTATGCTCATGTTGGTCTCAAAATTTCAGATGATTCATTTTAGGGAGACATAAAGTACTATTTAATTTTCACTTTTTAAATTTGGTATAATTTCATCAAATAAATTTAATACCATGGTTATTTAATACAGGGTTCCCATGGTTATCTAATACAGGGTTACCATGGTTATTTAATACTAGGGTCGCCATGGTTACTTAATACTAGGGTTACCATGGTTATTTAATACTAGGGTTGCCATGGGTACTTAATACTAGAGTTACTATAGTTATTTTGTTTTCAGTAGATAAAGAAAGTGGAGAAGAAGAAGGTGATTGTGAGTATTGTGCTTCAATATGTTTCTATTTATATTAGTTATTTAAAACAGAATATTCAGGCTCTTGGGTGGCCGAATGGTTTAAATTGTATGCATTAGATTATAGGTCTGTCATTGAGTTAAGTGGCGTGGTTTCGATTCCTCGCTTGTACGTGACAAGGAGTAGTATCACCAGACTAACCTCTTGGGTTTTCTCCAGGTCCTCCGATTACCCCACCACAACTTAACACAGCTATGCACAAGAGTATTATTGAAATGAAATTGAACCATATGTTAGTCCCAAAATGACCTAGTTTGTGTGTGTGTGTGTGTGTGTCTCTCTCTCTCTCTCTCTCTCTCTCTCTCTCTCTCTCTCTCTCTCTCTTTCAATTACTAAATGTTTTTGATATATTTAATATATTCCATATATTTTGTTATCTTAGCATATGAAGAACCACTTCCAGCAATTGATGGTAACAAAACTTTACCCAACAGACTAGACCTGTCAAGTATGTTTTTTCACAGACTTTTTCTTGCACATTAGCTTCAGGTCCTGAATTCACAAAACATTCTCAGACTTAAGTTATGAATTAACTTGACTTCCAATCACTATTTATGAGAAATATCTTAGATCCAAAAATACAAAACTTTGCACATATAAGTTTCTTATTGATGTATTTGATGTATTAAAACAACAAATTTTTTATAAAGGACTATATTTTAGTTAAAATAAGACAGAACAGTTTTGAGTAAATTCGTAACTTAAGTCTGAGAATGTTTTATGAAACTGGGGCCTGAGTTTATAGACCTAATTTTTTTTTCAAAGTCTCTGAACATTCTTTGCAATTACTAGACAAGTAATTTTAAAAAAAAACCATCAAATGAATGAATAAATAGATTAATAAATAAATAAATTCCTCACAAGGTTGTATCTTAATATATTTATAAACCGTATTTTAGTTATCAAGGGATTCCCCAATCACTCAAGGGATTCCCCAATCACTCAAGGGATTCCCCAATCACCAAGGGATTCCCCAATTCCTCAAGGGATTCCCAAATCCCTCAAAGGATTCCCCAATCCCTCAAATGACAATCAGAGACTTTAAAACTAAAAACTAATACTCTATGTTTTATTACTGATTTTAATTTCGCTTTTTACAAAATTGCTGTTTTAAACATTTGTTTGCAATAAACTTGTTGTGTGTGGTGTCCACATGTTGATGTAGATAGATTTAAAGATTTATTTGCAATAGTGTGATGTAGATACCTTTTAAAAAATAACACTTCTTTTTGAGTTATCATAAACACAAAACTTTGTGTGGATTTTAGAATATTAGACTAACAAAACTGAAAGCCTGTTATTTAGTGAGTCATTTTAAAATTCGTCAATTCCCAGATTTTTGTTCTACCTAATAAATATATTAGTTTAGCAATTGGATTAAAATACAGACATATATTTCATTTCGTTTTTTTTTTATACTTTTGATCTCCTACACTACATGAAGATCTGTCCAGTTGTACTGGAAAGTCGCGCCAGGGGTCATATGAGTGCCTTTTGACCCTATGATGTCAGACATTGATTAATCAATTAGCATTGATGTTTTTAGTGGTTTACCTACAGTTCCGTGCATCGCACGACAGTAACTCGCTGTAACAGACCGTTTCATTGGCTAATCCCTCACTTCAGCCAGAAAGTCGGTAATATAACAACTCTACCAGATCCTAGTGTAATAAAGACAAGTAAAACAAAATTTTAAACTATAAAAAACAAAATGAAATAGGATCTGTGTTTTAATCAGATTGATAGTTTAGTGAACTAGATGTGGTATATTGTAGCTTTCCAAGTTTATAAGGGTTCAAGGACAACAGCCGGGAGAGACAAACAGAATCGGCCAGGTTTAACTCATGTATCCCAGGGTTCTCACACTGCAGGTATAGTTTAACCGTTAACGTACAATTTTACCCAATTCATCCTTTTTTAGATTTTGTATGTTAATTACTGGATGTGCTTGTCTTTCTCATTTCAATGTTCAACATGAATCACGCAGCCTTTACGTTATCGTATTCACTGGTGACTCTGCTATGGGTATTAGAGTTGCTTCCAATTGCAGCGACAATGCTTTTTTTATAGGGATTACTTCCTTTTTTGCACTTTTTTGTATTAAGAGCGAAGGTTTTGACATTCTGTCAATAGTTAGATAACGATCAACGTTAGAAAGATTTCTAGAATCTTAACAGTAGGAAGAGTATTTTTTAGCACGGTTTTAGTAGTATATGCTTATATTGTAGTCCAAGAGCTAGATAGGGATTATTCACAATTTTGAGGCCGTACGGCTTGACAATGTTTTCATTTTTAGATGATTGTGTCCAGAATCGAAATTCTGAGACCCACAATTCTAACCAATAGAGAGTAGAATCTCCCCTAGTTCTTGGACTTTTAATAAGGGTAGTGTTTAGCTGTAGGAGATAACATTTAAACGATATTTTTAGTAGAATACACAGACATAAACATAAGGCAAGCTATATTGTAGTTTGCATGTCAAGGAGTCGGGTCACCTGTCCAACCTCAAGGATTAGGATCACCTGTCCAACCTCAAGGATTAGATTAGGATCACCTGTCCAACCTCGAGGATTAGGGTCACCTGCCCAACCTCAAGGATTAGGGTCACCTGTCCAACCTTGAGGATTAGGGTCACCTGTCCAACCTCCAGAATTAGGGTCACCTGTCCAGCCTGGAGGATTAGGGTCACCTGTCCAACCTCCAGAATTAGGGTCACCTGTCCAGCCTGGAGGATTGGGATCACCTGTCTAACCTGGAGGAATTCCTTGTTTCCTACCACTGCAAGTGAATGAAATAAAATTAAACCATATGTTAGTCTCTCTTTTCTTTCATTTATTTAAATAGACATTGTACTCAAGGATTCTTTGACGTGCACACAGGACTTTGTCATTTCTCATCCCATCCAAATGACTAGATACTGTTTTTTGCCAGTATAGAACAAATAATACAGAAACAAAACAGTAAACAGTCCAAGAGACGATGGAGCCATGGTGGCTCAGTGAGTAAGACGCTGGGTGGCTAAACTGGAGTTCATGTATTCGATTTGATCCATGCATTGGCCGGGAAAGTTTATCCAGATTTTCCGGTGTGGTTCCCTCTTTTCAGTGATGTAGGACAGATGGTCTGACAAGGACAGCTGTCTAGTCTTTCGGATGTGACGAAAAAATCAAGGTCCCGTGTACACATTGGCGTGCACGTAAAAAATCCCTTGACATTTGTAATTCGATATAATAGTAGGCCGTAGTGCCGCTGTCCTGGCACAATTTGACTCATAGCACACCATATGGCGTATGCCCGTCTTCATTAGTCCAGTCGGAGCAGAACAGTAGGACGTTAAACCCCATTTCATTTCATTTATTCGCCCCCTGTTTTGACTGAGAAAGTTTATCCGGAATTTCCAACATGCTTCCACCATGACAGTTGTGCAGGATGGAGAACCTGGCAAGGGACAATGTATAGTTGTTCGAATGGGACGAAAAACCAAGGTCCTGTGTGCATATTGGTATGCACGTTAAAGATCCTTGGACAGTTGGAATTTTATATAAGAGTAGGTTCCCTCATAGAACACTGTATAGCAAATGCCTGTCTTCATAGCCCAGTCGCTGTCCAACCTCGTGGGTTTTCTTAGGGGCCTCTGGTTTCCTCCCACAGCTAAAGACCCCTACGCGCAAGCGAATTATGTAAATAAAATTAAACCATATGTTAGTCCCGAAATGACTTAGTCGAGTGGACGTTAAACCCCATTTCTCTCTCTCTCTCTCTCTCTCTCTCTCTCTCTCTCTCTCTCTCTCTCTATCATAGCCCAGTTGGTGCAGATGAGTAGGACGTTACTGAAACTGAACGTGGTAATAGCTTGCCTTGTGTTGCTGTGTATAATTTATAGAATAATTTTGTAGAGTTAGTTTTATGTGTACTTATTTATAGGCGCTTTAGATAAGCTAGACACGGCTATAGACTATCACAATAGAGTGGCCACAGATAGAAAAAGGAATTCAGAATATCCAGATAATATGAAATGTAAGTTATACAAAGAAGCTGGAAGGTGTATGAAGTCATGTTTATGCCCTACTGTCCATTATCTTGCTGTTTATACTCTTCTGTCCATTATCTCACCATTTATACCCTGCTGTCCATTACCTTGCTGTTTATACTCTTTTTTCCAGTATATATCTGTTTATACTCTTCTGTCCATTATCTCACTGTTTATACTCTTCTGTCTATTATCTCACTGTTTATACTCTTCTCTCCATTATCTTGCTGTTTATACCCTATTGTCCATTATCTCGCTATTTATACCCTTCTGTCCATTATCTCACTGTTTATACTCTGCTGTCCATTATCTCACTGTTTATACCCTACTGTCCATGATCTCTGCCCATACCCTACTCTCCATTATCTCACTGTTTATACTCTGCTGTCTATTATCTCACTGTTTATACCCTACTGTCCATGATCTCTGCCTATACCCTACTCTCCATTATCTCACTGTTTATACTCTGCTGTCCATTATCTCACTGTTTATACCCTACTGTCCATGATCTCTGCCTATACCCTACTCTCCATTATCTCACTGTTTATACTCTGCTGTCCATTATCTCACTGTTTATACCCTACTGTCCATGATCTCTGCCTATACCCTACTCTCCATTATCTCACTGTTTATACTCTGCTGTCCATTATCTCACTGTTTATACCCTACTGTCCATGATCTCTGCCTATACCCTACTCTCCATTATCTCACAGTTTATACTCTGCTGTCCATTATCTCACTGTTTATACCCTACTGTCCATGATCTCTGCCTATACCCTACTCTCCATTATCTCACAGTTTATACTCTGCTGTCCATGATCTCACTGTTTATACTCTGCTGCCCATGATCTCACTGTGTATACCCTTCTGTCCATTATCTTGCTGTTTATACTCTCCTGTCCATTATCTCACTGTTTATACAATACTGTCCATTATCTCATTGTTTATACAATACTGTCCAATATAATACTCTGTTTTGTTTTATATTCCATATTTTTTATTTTACCAGATTCAATTTTAATCCATTTTAATTATTAATCTGTTGTGCACTATTTTATATTCAGTTATTAGAGAATTCAGACGTTTTTATTGGTTTTCCTTTTTTTATCAGATTTATCACCAGTTTCACCACCAATTTCTCCAACAGATGATTTCCCTGGTAAGTCTTCTTACAATGGATTAATATCAACGATTATACGTCTTCAAGTAGATATGCCCTAGTATTTCAGTGGATTTTAATTTAAACTTTTAAACTATCCAGGTTTTTATGGTCACTTGTCATGGTCCAAATGTTGACACACTTAAAAACATTTGAACTTAGAATTTACTAAACACTCTCAAACAAGCTCTGAATTGTCAATTGTCAGTCGTCTTAGAAATTGATAAAATTTACAAAACGCATTTTTTGTCGCCTGATATATGTAGTGACATGTCTGATGCATGAGACAGGGTATACGGACACGTGATACTATTTCTCATTTGTGGCATTCACACTGCTAACATATTTATTACGGTACAAAAACAAAAATTGAATTATTCATGTTATTTAAACATACATTATGCAAGAGCTAAATATGCCGATTGCGGGTCTTTCTTTAGGCCTGAAATGTTATCTAAATTATTAATTAGACATTAATTGACTTATCCAGACCATAATTAACTCTCGATGTCAATGCTAGCCAGCGATATTTACTGGATTAGAATCCGGTCTGCTGCTTCTGAGTAAATCAAAAAATGGATAATGTTTTTTATCGTACAGACTTTAGTAATGATGATCGAGGCTAGGCCGAAACTTCAAATGTTAAATACTCCGTTCAGGGTGGATCAATTTGACTGAAATTTTTTCAGCAAATTCCTTTTACATTATCTAGTTTTTAACTATTATAGTGAGAACTACCAGCTCTTTTATCTAATCTCCCATAATGTGTATTTAACTTTTAAGAAAATCGAAATGGCAGAAAGGGTAGAAATTTCTTATCATCTATATTACGAGTAAAAGGTATTTACGCTGTTGGGTAGTTAACAGGTTAATGTTATTCTATGGTTCAAGGGTTAATATTTTGTGTATTAACACTTTCATTTCCTGTATTGTATAACATGAGACAGAGTATGTTTACTCACTCTGTAGTTTGTATAAATCGAGGAATTATATTTATAATCATTTTGTACTTTGTATAATTGAGGGTGGGATCACGTGGCTAAGTGGGTAAGATGCTGGCTCGCTAGTCTGGAGGTCGGGTGTTCAATCCCTGAATTGGCCGAGAAAGTTCATCCAGATTTTCCTGTGTGGTTCCCCCTTGTCAGTGATGCAGGACGGAGGGCCTGACAAGGACAGCTGTCTAGTCGTTCGGATGGGACGAAAAACTGAGGTCCCGTGTACACATTGGCGTGCACGTAAAAGATCCCTTGCCAGTTGGAATTCGATATAAGAGTAGGCCGTAGTGCCGCTGTCCGGGCAAAATTTCCCTCATAGCACACTGTATGACGTATGCCCGTCTTCATTAGCCCAGTTCGGAGCAGAACATAGGACGTTAAACCCCATTTCATTTCATTTCATTTCGTATAATCGAGGAATTTTAAGTTTGTATATTTAATATAATGGTGATAGAAATATATGTTCTCATTAATTGGTTGATTTGGGTTATATATTCGTATTCGTCATTGTGAAAGTTAGATATTGTGTAATATGTGTGACGTCAGTAGTTAGATATTGTGTTATATTTGTGACATCAGTAGTTAGATATTTGTAATGTCAGTAGTTAGATATTGTATGTATGTGACGTCAGTAGTTAGATGTTGTAAATGTGTGATGTCATTAGTTAGATACTGTATTTGTGTGATGTCAGTAGTTAGATATTGTCTATGTGTGACGTCAGTAGTTAGATATTTATAACGTCAATAGTTAGATATTGTATGTATGTGTAACATAAATATTTAGATGATGTTGTGTGTGACGTCAGTATTTAGATGATGTTGTGTGTGACGTCAGTATTTAGATATTTGTGATATGTGACATCAGATATTGTATATAGATATTTTATATGTATGATATCAGTTGTTAGATATTGTATTATGTGTGACATTAGTAGTTCAATATTATATATGTATGTCGTTGGTAGTTAAATATTGTATAGCAGGGGCATGTGTAGAAAAATGAGCAGGTGGGAGGGCTCTGTTCCAGGGTGACTGACCGCAGAATCTCAAGGGGGGTATGGGGTTCTCACCATAGGCTCCCAATGAACAGGGGCATCTAGACCACCCCCTGACACGCACCTGGGATATTGTACATCTATTTATTTGTGACCTTCTTATGTGGACCTTCAAAAAATTGCTTCAGTTGCTTTCTTTAGCAATATCTACAATGCCAATGCTTAATTCTAGTAGATTCCATTTGCTAACGTAGAAATAGTTATTTTGATAGGCCTATATTTATAGTGAATAGACATCAAAAGAAATTTGATAATTGTTGTTTGGCAACTCTGATTTTAAGATGATATGTTTTTGTATTTTTAATTGCAGAAAATATTGTAAGGAAAACTGGAAGATCTAAATCGGTTCCACATGTAGTGTTCGATCCAAGTCTGGAACAAAAAGGTCTGTACCTTATATCTGCATACTCCTCGCAGTTTTTTGTTTGATAAGAGCTACTCCCACTTAACACTGCTGTAAAGGAAGCAAATTTCTGTTCCAAATTATGACTGGTCAATAATCAGATTAGATTAACAACCAATAGTTAGCTGCGTAACAATATCATTACGCTTTAAACAGAGCTCCATATTGGACCAAATATGTTTACATAACGATTTTATTATGGCCAATTAACCAGTGCATAGCAGAATATTGCAGAAAAACTAATTGCGTGACAATGAGGCTATCAACAGGGATACACTGTAAACAATACTGTATGTAGACGAACAAGACCTTCACTGTTTTTAATACCTTAAATCACTGTCTAAAGTTTTAGGGAAGACCCCAGATTAAATAAGAGAGAGAGAGAGAGTAGAGAGAGAGAGAGAGAGTAGAGAGAGAGAGAGAGAGTAGAGAGAGAGAGAGAGAGAGTAGAGAGAGAGAGAGTAGAGAGAGAGAGAGAGAGAGAGTAGAGAGAGAGAGAGAGAGTAGAGAGAGAGAGTAGAGAGAGAGAGAGAGTAGAGAGAGTAGAGAGTAGAGAGAGAGAGAGAGTAGAGAGAGAGAGGGAGAGTAGAGAGAGAGAGAGAGAGTAGAGAGAGAGAGAGAGAGAGAGTAGAGAGAGAGAGAGTAGAGAGAGAGAGGAAAGAGAGAGAGTAGAGAGAGAGAGAGTAGAGAGAGAGAGAGTAGAGAGAGAGAGTAGAGAGAGAGAGAGAGAGAGTAGAGAGAGAGAGTAGAGAGAGAGAGAGAGAGAGAGAGTAGAGAGAGAGAGAGTAGAGAGAGAGAGAGAGAGTAGAGAGAGAGAGAGAGTAGAGAGAGAGAGAGAGAGAGAGAGAGAGTAGAGAGAGAGAGAGAGTAGAGAGAGAGAGTAGAGAGAGAGAGAGAGTAGAGAGAGAGAGAGAGAGAGTAGAGAGAGAGAGAGAGAGAGAGTAGAGAGAGAGAGAGTAGAGAGAGAGAGGAAAGAGAGAGAGTAGAGAGAGAGAGAGTAGAGAGAGAGAGAGAGTAGAGAGAGTAGAGAGAGAGTAGAGAGAGAGTAGAGAGAGGGGAGAGAGAGAGTAGAGAGAGTAGAGAGAGAGTAGAGAGAGAGTAGAGAGAGGGGAGAGAGAGGTAGAGAGAGAGAGAGAGAGAGAGAGAGAGAGAGAGATAGTTTTCCGGCATGGATTGTGGTTACTCTATTTTCAGGGTGGTAAGACGCTGATTCACTAGTGCTTTAACACATGTAAATGAAAAGATAAGAGAGAGAGAGAGAGAAATGGGGTTTAACGTCCACTCGACACAAACTAGGTCATTTCGGGACTAACATATGGTTTAATTTTATTTCAATAATTCGCTTGCGCATAGGGGTCTTTAGCAAAATGAAAAGATAAGGTCTGTCATTTAGTCAAGTGACACGGTTTTGAATCCCCGCTTGTACATGACAAGGAGAAGGGTCACCTGTCCAACCTTTCTTCCCACTGCTAAAAGGCCGCTATGTGCAAACAAATTATAGAAATAAAATTGAACCATATGTTAGTCCCGAAATGACCTAGTTTGTGTCAAGTGAATGTTAAACCCATTTCTTTCTTTGCAGATGATGTAAACAGGATATAGTACTGATAGGTATTGTAATATTTGTTTTATTTTTTCAGTGCCTCAACAAAATCCTGGTGTACAGCGTCGTGCGTCTACTAATCGTGGATCAGCTGTGCCACAACAGTATGATGATGATAATCCTTACAACCCAAGGCGTCGACCTCAACAACACCTTGATTACTCCTACAACCCTCAACAACCAGATGATGTTAATCCTTATAATACCAGGGAGTCAGATCCTTACAGCAGTAGGGATAGAAAAGAAAGCACAGGGTCAAATCCTTACAACAGTAGGGATAGAAAAGAAAGCACAGGGTCAAATCCTTACATCAGTAGGGATAGAAAAGAGAGCACAGGGTCAAATCCTTACAACAGTAGGGATAGAAAAGTCAGCACAGATTCAAATCCTTATATCAGTAGGGATAGGAAAGTCAGCACAGATTCAAATCCTTATATCAGTAAGGAACGCAAGCACAGCAGCGATAGAAAAGACAGCACAGGTTCAAATTCATACAGTCCAAGAATCCATCAACAAATCGAGGAATCAAGTCCTTACCAAACCAGGCCTTACAATCCAGGAGATCAACAGGAAGGTCAGGTTTACGTAAACCTTCCACCCATGGGTTCCGCCGGAAATACATCTTGTGATTCTCGTCCATCAGGGAACACACCCCGTCCTGTCTCTGCTGCATCCAACAATTCCACCCTGAATCTGAATGATATTCAGAGTCAACTGGCCAGTTTGAAACCTACTGGGATTAAAATAGTAGTCGATAGCCCATCACGAACACCAGATGCTCTACCATCACCACCTAAAGCTCATTCACCACCACCAGTTGCTCCTAAAACTAAAGCAAAACCCCAAAGCACAAGTAAGTTTAATATTTGCAACACAGGTTTGTGTAAAATGCCTGTAAAATGTTCTCAGGCAATGGCAGAAGGTCTGGCAAAGGAATGGTATCAAGTCGCTTGGATGGAACGAACGACTGAGTTTCCCTGTAGGGTAGGCGAAAACTCCGCTCTCCAGCACAATTTCCTCATAGCACACTGCATGGCATATGCCAATTTTCATTAGCCTGTTTCGTGCGGACAAGTAAGACATAACCCCATTTCTTTACATTGACTATTTCTCTTCATCCGGGTTTACTACCTATCGCAGACTTTCTCGATGAACCTTGTAATTTGTCTTACAAATCATAATATTTGGAAATTTCATTTCAAACATCCTGGGAATTTTTAAGATCGCAGGTAATTTGCAGACCTATTTAAATGTTTTTAGTGTAACCACTGGTTAACTATTATAATGTAATCACTAGTTAACTATTATGTTTCAGTGTAATCACTGATTAACTATTCTAATGTAATCACTGGTTAACTATTCTAATGATTCAGTGTAATCACTGGTTAACTATTTTAAAGCTTTAATGTAATCACTGGTTAACTATTCTAATGCTTAATGTAATCACTGGTTAACTATTCTAATGTTTAATGTAATCACTGGTTAACTATTTGCTGCCGTCACTGCTTAACTTTTCTAATGCTTTAATGTAATCACTGGTTAACTATTCTGGTGTTTTCACTGGTTAACTAACTATAACTTGTTAAATATTTTAATGTAATAACTGGTTAACTATTCTAGTGTTTTCAATGGTTAACTATTTAATGTAATCACTAGTTAACTAAGTATTCTAATGTTTTTCTAATTAGCTAAACTAACAAATCCGAGAATAAAGCTGCAAACAATGTCAACTAATCACCTAGAGGATTTATACGAAAACTTAGAAGATTACCCATCTAACAAAGCTAACGCACATAACCAAAACTTCTTTAACCATGGTGATGGTAGTCATAGTAATAGTTACACTGAGGGCAGTGTTTATGAGGATGCTCAAAGTCATGCTTATGTGCCTGCAGGTGAAGATGATAATGAGACTCTAGTGTCGTCTGGATCCAGTAAAGATATCAACAGTAATATTACATCCAAACCAGAAACATGTGTACCCAGTAAGTATTACACCAACCCAAACCAGAAACATTTATACCCAATAAGTGTCTTGTTTTGGGTGGGGGGGGGGGCGTGAATGGTTAGCACGTGCGTGCTGTATCATACGACCTGTCATCGAGTCAACTTGCGTGGTTACGCTTCCCCAGTTGTACGTGACAAGGAGTAGGGTTGCCTGTCCAACCTCGTGGGTTTTCTCCAGGTCCTCCGGTTTCCTCCCACTGCTAAAGACCCCTACGCGCAAGCGAATTATTGAAATAAAATTGAACCATGTGTTGGTCCCGAAATGGACCTAGTTTATGTCGAGTGGATGTTAAACCCCAATGTCCCGGTTCTCTTGTTGTTTATTTTATAGATAGAAAAACAACTATCTTTGATTTAAACATATTTTATTACTTCACAGTTAACGGATTCGAAAAAAGTTACGAAAACTTACAAAGGAGTCCTGTGTCATTAATTAGAAACTTTTGTCTTTTTTTTAATGATACCAATTCTATTGGTTTTTAACTTTTTTTTTTAAAATAAATTTTTTCTACTGGTATCCAGAATTGAATAATTCTGCATCGATTGATTCTTTATGTATTGTGTATTTGTTAATGGGATCCCTGGTTGCTCACTGATTTAGGCGTTGGCTCGCTAACCAGGTCTCGAGTTAGATCCCGGTGTCGGCCGAGATGTGCAACAGGATTTTCTGGCGTTGTTCCCCCTTGTCAGTGTAGGACTGAGGGCTTGGCATAGCCCCCTGACTGAGGGCTTGCCATAGCACCCTGACTGAGGGCTTGGCATAGAACCCTGGCTTGTCAAAGCATCCTTGGCAGTTTGAATTCAATTTGATACGACACTGTATGGCGTATGCCTGTCTTTATTAGACTAGTTGGAGCAGAACAGTAGGAAGTTAAACCCCATTTCATTTCGTATTTTTTAATATTTTTTTCTTCTTTAGGTACTGATCGGACATTCATTAAAAATAAACTGGAGATGTGTTTTGGAGGTGGATTGAAACCAGATACAAGAGTTATAACAAAAGTCAAGAGTGCTCCTAACTTACCGCTACCCGAGATTCCACATGATGACCCTTATCCAGAGAACGATTCTTTATATGAGGAAATTCCTGCAAATCAATACAACTTTTAACGGGATAGAAATTGTTAAATTATATTACGAACTGATTGGCTGATTTGATAGAATTCATCCACTGCATTTTTTTTTTACTATAAATCTGCGATTACAGTTGCTGTGCTCATTTGCATTTTTTTGAAAATATCAAATTTTTCCATGTGACCTAATCCACGCTAAAATGTACTCAAAATTGATGGTTGAACATTTGATCAAGGAAACAAAATATAAACATTGACTTGGATTCAGAGAGATGTTGGACAGGCGACCCTACTCCTTGTCACGTACAACCGGGGATCGAAACCACGCCAGTCGACTCAATGACAGACCGTATGATACAGCGCGCGTGCTAACCATTCGGCCACCCAACCCCCCAGGCTTGGATTCAATCGGATAAAAATGAGGCTCATCAAAAGTTGGCGTTGCTGACTTGTGTTGTATATTATATATACCGTTTGCAGGGAATGTAGAATGTGAACAACATTTCAATTCATCCCATCTTTGTAAATAATGAACAAAATTGAGACATTTGCGGACTGATATTTTGTTTAAAGATTCCACGTTAACAATCACTCAAATGAGGTTCTTGAAAGACATCAATCTATAAAGGTACCCAAAACATCTTTGCAACAGATTAACAATCATTAACAAGACGTTCGCGAACGACATCAATCTATAAAGGTAGAAGATAAAATCAGGGATGTGACGGCCAGTTATCCCTGTTTAGCAGCAGTGACTAGTTTCGTTTGTACTCTTCACACTGATTCTAAGATTAAAAACTTTTCAATCGCACAGTGTCAATGACAAAAACTCAACTTTGACATCCCCCATTTAATTTCTTTGTTATACAATCTATAAAGGTACCGAAAACATCTTGAGAGATAGCCATGGAATTTATCTGTTGCTCAGTTTCATCGAATTCTTCCATTGAACTGTGTATTTTAACTTTGCCTCCTGATTCGGTGATTTTCATGAAATTGTAAAAACATTGTGTGATCTAATATTATAATAACAGACAACTTTATGGATAACGTTCACAAGGTTTATTAAGTACAACGATTCAATGAGAGTAGTACTCTCACCATTATCGATAAATAGAAAACAGTTTGTCATTTTCTATAAAGTAACAATCGACTGATTTTTGTTGATAATTCTCCTTGGATTAAATAGTGTGAAATCTATGTGTTGGAAACTTATTGCTGCAAAATTTTACAGAGCGTTTTAGCCTAGAGTCGAACGAGATACAGCGAAGGATGTGTAGATAAACAAAGGGATTTTTTGTTATGATTGGAGCGCAAAATGGATAGTGATTGATCATTGATCGAATGAGTATACACATCGTTTAAATTAAATGGAATATACAATAACTTTTGTTGATACATGTACCCGATGTGACAGTATCCAAGGTGATTTTAAAAACGTAACCAAGGTGACATTAACGTTAGCACAGTGGCGTCAGATTTTATAAATAGAAAAATTAAAGATTTATATATATTAAATGAATAGAAATATATATTTTTAAAATATACCGTATAACGAAATAATATCCGTGTGTAAATATTTAGCATATCTGTGATTTCTGTGTTGTAGACTACGATTATAGTCTTTTTGTATATAAAATACATTTTATATAATTGATAGATAAAATATTATTTTTATATTATTTTAGACTGGATCACCCCAGAGCAACTTACTTATCAGTACCCTGTTGCAAATGAAAGTTTGCCTGAACTTCGCAGGTAAATTTTGGCTGGAGTGATCGTGACTTCTGGTATATTGTTTCTATTCATAAATTTACAGGACTTGTAGTATCATTAGATATCTACGATTTTATCTATATTTAGATTTAATGCATTTCATTAGAAAAAAGAATAATTGGAAACGAATCATCACTCATATTTTTGTAAAATTAGATATTAAATTATATGTTATTTTAGATATTATTATCATTTTGTATTAATTTGTTAAATGTCATTTTGTTATTGTTTGTTGTAGTATTATTATAATATTTAAAAATTTTTATTTTTATCAAATCATCATTCCAGCTTGCTATCACTAGTGATGGGCAGGGTCGGGTTAAGCTTGCATGAAGCTCCTGGCGCAAAATGTCACTGGGTTCCTAGCATCGACAGTGAATAGGGGGCATATTCTGATCATTTTCAGTATGGTAAATAGATAGATTTATTTGGCACAAACATATTGTACAAAAATTTTGTTATAACTAATATGGGACTGCCTTTAATATTGGGGTCCCTGACTGCAGCCCCCCTCACCATAATCCAGCCTTGAGGCTTGTTTCACAAAATTTTAACTAAGATACAATCCAAATTTTAGTAATTTGATTGGATAATATTAGATTGATTTTAGTGCTTAGCCAATCAAAATTGAAGTATCTACTAAAGTTTGGGTTTTATCTTTAGTTAAAATTTCGTGAAACTGGGCCCTGATGATGGGTACTCTTACCCGTTCACAATAAAACCCAACGGACATTTATAGTAGGCCTACACATTATTGTATAATGTCAATTTAATATATATTTAATAATGATCAATTTAAAGATAATTCAGGTTTGTCAAGTGTGTTTACCAGTAATTCAATCCAAAAGTCTACTTAGATAAACATTTATACAAAAGATATGAAATAAGCTATTCACACCAAATTGAATTATACATGAATATAATCTATTAATGCAATGTATGCACACACGTGGAGCTTTAACAAGGAAGTGTTATGACTTCCACGGCTCTATCCATATGAATATTTTATTGAACTCAAGTATTATTGACATTTATTGAAATACAATAACATTAAATATAAATTTGATAATTACGGGAGATTTGTAAAGACCGTGATATGAATATATTAATCTCTATATTATTGGCATTATTATTCAAGTACAATTAAAGAAGATTTTTGACAGCCAGTAGTTGCACGATTTGTTTGTCAAATATCCTCTTTACATAATGATATTATTAACAATTAACAAGGATTTACATACTACAACTGGTCTAAAAATATGTTGTTTATTTGGAATAACAAGTCCTTGACCTGTTATAAGTGTGTATTATTCAATACACAATATTATAATACTCCTTAAATCTATTTATATAGTATTAGTAATTTAAAGGTAATAATTGAAATGAAATGGGGTTTAACGTCCTACTGTTCTGCTCCGACTGGGCTAATGAAGACTGGTATACACCATACAGTGTGCTTTGAGAGAAATTTTTCCCGGTATCTTTTACGTACACGCCAATGTGTACATGGGACCTCGTTTATATATGTAAATGTATGTAATCTAATAATGTTAAATATATACATAGTTACAATATATTCACAACAATATTATATAAACTCACAGTCATATTTTTGTTTGTGTTTTTTGGGTGAGGGGCATCGTCGGTATCCCCAGTCATTCCACTCCACTAAATCCTTGGTTCATCCATGGGGGAGACAGGTATTCAAATTTTTGTTTGTTTTTATTGGGGAAGGGGCATCCTTGGTATCTCCAGTCATCTTGTGCCGTTCCACTCGGGCTATACTATATACCGGAAAACACCGGAAAACTACCGGTAAACACCATGTTATACTGAATACCGGAAAAACACTAAATACCGGAAAAAACCCTAAATAGGTAACCTGGAGAAGGGCTATACTATAAACCGGAAACTAACCCTAACCCTAACCCAGGCACACAGAGGACCAGGCTCAGTGTTACCTATTTAGGGTATTTTCCTGTATTTAGTGTGTTTTCCGGTATCAGTATAAAATGGTGTTTTCCGGTTGTTTTCCTGTGTCTTCCGGTGTTTTCCGGTATATAGTATTGCTGGTTCCACTCCACTAAGCCCTGGGTTCATCCATAGGAAAGACAAATATTCAAATAGTTTGTGTTGAGTATATATTAAACCCTGTTTATTTTTATTGTGAGTATAATCAAGGTGAACCTGGAGTGAGAAATGGGGTTTAAAGCCATCTCAACACAATCTAGGTCATTCCGTGACTAACATGGTTCAATTGTATTTCAAAAATTCGCTTGCTAGTAGTGGTCATTGGCAGGTGCCCCTTCTCCTTGTCACGTATACACTTGAGATCAAAACCACACTCCTCAATGAAAGATCTTATGAGACCAAGCGCCCCCACCCCCACCCCCAAGGTGAACCTTCTGCAATAGAAACTCAATTCGTGGTGACACAGAAACAATTAGTCACTACTTGTCTGCAATTCTAATAACTCTTTGTATTCGCCTGACTGAGCTAATGACGACATGCTGATGCAATACAGTGTGCTACGATGGTAATTTAAAAATTTTGCATTGACAGCCGCGCTACAGCTTACTCTGTTTTCAAATTCCAACTGTCAAGAGTTCTTTAACGTGCACGCTAATCTGTACACGTGACATTAGTTTTTAATTCCATCTGAAAGACTAGCCACTGTCCTTGCCAGACCCTTAGTCTTGCACCACTGACAAGGTGAAACTATGCTGGAACACCCCAGAGAACCTACCACTAAATATACTACCAATAATAGTGAGGTTAGCATAAAGTAGTAACAACGATTGATCTTCCCGATAAAGAAATACTTTGCAAATGAATACACTTTTATTGTATAGCTCCAAAAATGTATATTTAACTTTCCATTTGGCTGACTGACAAAATCTGATTAAAAGTTAATGTGACATGCATATTATTATTACCTTAAATTGCTATTTTATAATGGCAATATAATGGGGTTATTTTGGGATGCAGTCATATTAGTGTGCTATTTAAATCTAACTTATCAAACTTTTAAATAGATAAATTCCTGAGGGCTTTCCTGTTTATGAATTGAGTTACCAGAAAATTAAAAGACACTAGAAAGGCTCTTTACTGGAAACTTTCCAATCGAATACATCATGTAGGAATGGTGCTTTAACCCCTGCCCCAAAATAGCAGCATTTTGAGAGAGAGAGAGAAATGGGGTTTAACGTCCACTTGATACAAACTAGGTCATATTGGGACTAACACATGGTTCCATTTTATGTCAATGGGAGAAAACCCACAAGGTTGGACAAGCAACCCTACTTCTTGTCACGTACAACCGGGGAATCGAACCCACGCCAGTTGACTCAATGACAGACCTCATGATACAGCGCGCACATGCTAACCATTCGGCCATCCAACCCCACCCCCCCTTGCAGCATTTTGAAGGATGGCTTCAGTGACAAGAAATAAGCATAAAATTGATGGACAAATTTAATTGTGATAGGGTTCAGTCATATGATTAGCGGATTAGCCAAACTAAGTTAGCCCGACTCTAAATTTTAAAAAATGTGACTTATACGACTAGCCAAACAAACCCAGCGAGACAAAATTCCAAATAAGCATTTACAAGGGCAGCAACTATACAAATCTTAATTTGGTGTTTTCATTTAGATCAGCAAAACAAACCCAGTAACTCTCACCTATAGTGTGTGCAAAAGGTTTACAGGCCAGAAATACAGGCAGTATTTTACTGGTTAAATATGAGACGGAATGGGAATGTACGAACAAGCCAAACCATTAGACAAAATTCGTAGTCCTAAAAAAACGGTATAGGCAAAATAGTGTAATAAGGCAAAACAGTGTAATCAGCATATGGACTGTTCACCGTGCACAAAATACACGACAAACAGTGGTAACAGGTGTCCGGAAGAGTAAGCTTACCCTGCCTGGTGCCACACCCGCCATAGCTGCATCCAAACTATTAGCGTGATTGGCCAATGAACTATCGGTATGCAAAATGCACGTGATGAACCGTGTTAACGATGTAGTAGACAGACATTATCAGGGAGATAGTATACGCGTCAATTAAATATATCTAGAATAATAGCCGAGAGAGACATGTTATATTTACCAATCAAGTCAATATGACGTGTCATTGTATGTTAGATAAATAATTTCTCGTTTAAATGTAGTTGGTGCATTTGTTACTCCAAATGGCATGAAATTGATTTCTTTGTACATTTCAATTTTTATTATTACGAATATTCTTGGTAATCATGGTAATGTCTTCAAAATGGCGCTGTCTTCAGATATTACCAAATGTGAATGGTCTACAGACATTTTTCTTGGTTGAGATCACAACATTTTTCTTGTTTATATACAACCAAAAGTGGAAATTTAAGTGCCCCATTTATCACCAGAACTTTAATAATAGTCTGATATAAAAGCAGTTTGTTTGTATGTGGAGTCCATTGTTTGTGACTAAGTTAAAATTTTTTAAAGGGGCATTCTCATATTTATCTGTTTGCGCCAATACCTAAAATAAACATTACGAATTACAGTATTTAACAGAGTGTAAAGCACAGCACCAGTTTCAATCATATTTAACTGAGTGTAAAACACGGCTCCAGTTTCAGTCCTATGTAACTGAGTGTAAAGCACGGCCCCAGATTCAGTCATATTTAACTGAGTGTAAAGCAAGCTCCCGTTTCAATCATATGTACTTGAGGAGATGCTCAATTGTCAGTCGAGATCGTCCCAAATTGACAGAATTGCAATTGAGTGACACAGAATTCTTTCCTGTCACAGTTCTGTCAGTCCCGACAATGGATATGGTGTGGATTGAATCGTGATGCAATTAAACACAACGAATAAGTTTCAGCTGCCATGGTTGGTTGAGATATTTTCTGATGCAGTCGAGAGATCGTTGTAGCCCAACAACCCCCTTGTAGCTATTTTGGGATTTCAATTCAGGAATGTTCAATCAAGTAACGCCTTAGTGTACATTGTAGATGTACAGAGCAACAGCTCTTGGGTGGGGGTCGTGGTGGGATACCAGTATTAAGAAAATAAAATAGAAAGATACAAAATAGCATATATAACAATATTTTATATACAATAAACATCAACAATAGTCTCTCTGAAGCTGTATAAATAAACATACATAAATATTGTTCAGGGGTTGTTTTCCATAAACATGATTGTACGTTAAGCAGTTTTCAATTATAGGCCCTGTGCGCCAGTTTGTACAGGGGTTGCATTCCATAACTACGATTTTACGTTAAGCAGTTCAGTACCCATAATATTACGTTAAGCAGTTTTAACTAAACGCGCTTTGCGTCAGTTTGTTAACAGGGGTTGCCTTCCATAACCATGATTTTACGTTAAGTAGTTTTCAATTAAAGGGGTTGCATTCCATAATCATGATTTTATATTAAGCAGTTTTCAATTAAAGTCCTTGCGTTAAAAAATTAAAATTTTACAGACGTTGTATTCTTTAATTAAGATTGTAGCATCTTAAGCTGTTTTCAGATTGTGTTCAAGTGCTTTTTGAAACAAGTGCTAATACTAATCAGAGAGAGGGAGCGAGAGAGAGAAGAGGGGGGGGGGGAGAGATGGGGTTTAACCCCCACTTGACACCAAACCCGCCTAATAATAAACAGAGTACTCGACAAAAATGAAAATTACTGTCACTTGTGTGCGTTGTTTTGAGTTTTTCGATTTCTAGACTAACATATGAATTATCTTAAATACCAGGGAGCCTAATTATATATTTGACCTTTTTGTTACTTAGGCCATATAAAATAAACATTCTGGCTCTTAGATAGTCATGCCTCAATTAAAAAAAGCTGCATGACCTGTTTTTATTTTTAAAAAGTGAAATAAAATTGAACCATATGTTAGTCACGAAATGAGCTAGTTTCTGTCGAGTGGACGTTAACCCCCATTTCTCACTCTCGCTAATATAATTCACAGCAAAATATAAACATGACCTGACACACCGAACCGAGTATTAAGTTGCATTTACATAAATTCATATACATACATAGCTATATATAAACACCTAATAAGGATGAAAATTCATTTTTGGAATCTTATTTGGAATTCTTCAATATTTTACCCTTCATTTTAAAATGTATACAATAACATCAAAGTTAATTCTCTCTACAATCAAATAACAACAAGAAATGAAATGAAGACAGCCATATGCAGTGACTGCCAGCTGAGAGAAAAGCAAAATAGCTTCGGGTTAATTCTGTTTTCGCTAAAATCTTGTTTCAGAGTGGGTCAATTTGACTGAAATTTTCAGCAAATTCCCTTACTTTATCTAGTTTTTAACTATTATAGTGAGAACTACCAGCTTTTTATCTAATCTCTCATAATGTATCTTTAAAGTTGAATGAATGAATGAAATAGGGGTTTATAACACCCCACTGTTCTGGACCAAAGTATACGCCATGCAGTATGCTAGGATCTTTAGCCTGGACAGCAATTGAATTCCAACTGTCAAGGGTTATTTTTTGTCCCATCCATAGAACTAAGGTTAAACCAGTGTCAGATGTGTTATGTGACTGTACGAGGTTTGTTATGAACAAAGCGTAGCATGAAGGCACTTCTACCACTTTTAGTAAAATAATAAGTTAATAAACCGAACTCTTGGACCATGCAAAAAAAATATTCTCGTTCTCAGACAATCCTTACCAAAAATCTGATGCAGATTTTTTTTCTTTTTTTTTGTATGTTTATTTTATCAAAGGAACACTACTGCCTTACAGGGTTAAATGACTTCTCATAAACATCACATTTCAAGGCATTATTGTAGAGCTACTTCATGTTACCAGGTTATATGTGGGAATTGATGTGACTTGGTTTTTTTTTAGGAAATAAAAACAGGTTATGTACCGGTAGCCTTTTTTAAGTGACACAGGATTGTCTGAAAACCAGACTTTTTTTTATATGACCTAATCTATACAAATATTTGTGACTGTCGTTTGTTTGTTTGTTCAGGGTTGGCGGCTACACTAGGGCTGTCTGTCCCGAGGTTGAAATTTGGTGTATTGGGGTAGTTCGAGCTGGGGAGTTGGACTACCGCTTCCGGTTTCGGAGATACAACCCGTGTAGCGCCACGTCATCCGCTAGTCAAAATATATTCTATTCTACAATCATCATAAACCAAAATAATATCGGACTGGTGGACCAGCTATATCTTCATCTTCATCGTTCCCACTCTCATTATCAAATGATAAAACCAAATCCATGTATTTAATACTTGCTGTAGGCTTTAATAACTTTAACATTCTGTAAAGATACAAATAAATCATATACAACCACCTGATACCGTTGACTAATGAAGCTAGGCCTTTTAGTAATGACAATTTTTGTCATCAAATGACATAAGTGATCGTTATTCTAAACGAATGTTTCGTATGTATAGAAAGTGGTTAGAAACTATACAGTTAGCTGGTGTGTAACTAGCTGTAAAAGATGTCACTTCTGGTGTAAAAGCATGACTATTTATAACACCCATCACTATTGAATACACAAACCTGGACAATACTGGTGTATATCATTCAATAGTCACAGTTTGAACACCTTAGTGACATAACAGCACTGACTGATTACTAACAATTTTAACTAACTAATACACATTATGTATATAAACTGACGACTTTGATCTATTAGTGTCGTATAGATTCATTTATAACAGTTATTTGTTGCTAAGTCAACAGTGAACTAAGTTGCCATAAATCCTTGTTTAAAAGTTTAACACATCTAAAGTCAAGCTCACAATGTGCACACGTTAAACTATGGGCATTTCAACATATGGTTCAATTTTATTTCAATAATTCGTTTGCGTGTAGGGGTCTTTAGCAGTGGGAGGAAACCCACGAAGTTGGACAGGCGACCCTACTCATTGTCATGTACAACCGGGGATTCGAAACCACGCCAGTTGACTCAATGACAGACTTTCTGATACAGCGCGCACACGCTACCATTTGGCCATCCACCTCCCTAGTGAGCAGAAAGTAATCTTTTACGTACGTGTGAGGTTTTCTCTTCATATGACCAGGCATTATTGGAACAAAAACCATTTTAACACCATGTACAACCATACTAGGTTCCAGACCATACGTTGTCTAAACAAAAACAAAATAAAAAATAAATTAATCTAGGCTTTTTCTTTTAATAACAAATAACAAAATAAAAAAAGAAAAAAAAAAGGAGCAAGGCAAGCCTGGAGATAAGGCACCTGTCACAGACAATATCAGGCACAAACCTCTGGCGCCTGTCATTTTGTCCGGCAATGATTTGTCTTTTTTATTGATATTATTAATACATGTTCGGCACCAAGTTAAAAAAAATGTCGGGTACTATTTCATTAGTGCCTAATATTTTGTCAGGAATATCTAAAACCGTTATTTCCAGGCCTGAGCAAGGAGACTTAGTCATCAACATCTTTTGTAGATCTAATTTGTTTTTGTGAAAACCCAAGAATGATTAAACTTGAGAAATTTATAATCAGCAAAAGGCAGTTGATGTGTGTAAAACTATTTTTTGGGGTCCGAGTGAAAATGTCTCCTCTATTAGACAATGTCTCCTCTATAAGACAATGAAGTGTATTTACCTTAAAATAATCTAGGAATTGTTGTAAAGTAAAATCTTTATTTCCTGTTACTTCCCATCTATCCCACATGGTGTACGATAATCCTTCTCTATAAATAACAAATAATATCAATAATCCTTCTCTATAAATAACAAATATCAATAATCCTTCTCTATAAATAACAAATAATATTAATAACATATTTTATACAACAATTCTCCTCTATAAATAACAAATAATATCAATAGTTAATAGTCATTTGGTTGCCATGGTAGCTTGGTGAGAAAAGCGCTAGGTCACTCACTATACAGGCGGTAATAAGATCAAACTCAGTTTGGATCTAAAAAGTTCCTTAGAATCTTCCAACCAGGTTTCCTCTTGTCAGTGGTATAGAAATAATCACCCCCCAAATGCTGTTAGCGAGTTAAAGGGCCATATTGTCTGGTATATTTGATTTTACAATCATCTAATCACCCAGTAACATAATAAACGATTTCAGTGTATTTCTTGACTCCCGGAACATCCGTTTAGACACCAAAATTATCATTCTAAACTAAATACTATGGGAGTTATAGAGCATTATTTGAAATGGTGGGTGTTTAGACGCCATCTTGAATTTCTCAAAATGCTCAAGGGTGACCAAGGTTCACCCGGCAGATTCTGAAAGAGGACACCCTAGGCTACTAAAATCAATCATAAAAAAAACTTTGTATACAATTTCCAGGTTCAGCCATACTTCTACCGGATTACTATGCTTGGAAAGATCAGGGTTTACAGACCTAGAGTTCTACACACCGACTCAGCTAATGAAGACGGACTCAAGGACGAAAAACAGACTGATAAAACTTAAAAATTTACCTGATTACAGTTCTCTCGGTTGGACCAGGTTCCGATAACAACATCAATGGCAGACCCAGATTTAAAAAACAGTTTTTATAATGTTCGATAGGGCGTGACTTGTCGAGTATTTTAATGAGTTCTATAGAAACTAAGCCGGATACAGCTGCTGTAGTTGTAGCGATAGCCGGAACGATTCGACCAGCGATACGCTTAATCTTTAACCTATCAGCATTCTCTATACTGTACATTTCCGCTCGTAGATTCTGGAAATTTACAAAACAAATCAATGATCTTTTTAATTATGAATATGGTTTTGTTTTGTTTTTTATTTTTAATGGTTCTGAGAGAGAGAGAGAGAGAGAGAGAGAGAGAGAGAGGACTAACATATGGTTCAATTTTATTTCAATTATTCTCTTGTGCGTAGGGGTCTTTAGCAGTGGGAGGAAACTGGAGGACCTGGAGAAAACCCACGAAGTTGGACAGGCGACCCTACTCCTTATCACGTACAACCAGGGAATCGAAACCATGCCAGTTAACTCAATGACAGACCTTATGATACAATGTGCACGCGTTAACCATTCAGACACCCAACCCTCTTCTAGAGAGAGAGAGAGAGAAATGGGGTTTAACGTCCACTCGACACAAACTAGGTCATTTCGGGACTAACATATGGTTTAATTTTATTTCAATATTTCGCTTGCGCGTAGGGGTCTTTAGCAGTGGGAGGAAACCGGAGGACCCGGAGAAAACCCACGAGGTTGGACAGGCGACCCTACTCCTTGCCACGTACAACCGGGGATTCGAAACCACGCCAGTCGACTCAATGACAGACTTTATGATACAGCGCGCGCACGCTAACCATTCAGACACCCAACCCTCTTCTAGAGAGAGAAGAAATAAAATTCTTACTGCTGATGTAGATATAAAATCTATATGGCCGTTATTGTCATCATCCTTCTCAAACTCTACCGGAGACTGATTACTGACTATCACAGAGACTGAAAAACACAAAACAAATAGATGGATCTTGGCACAATTGATATTATTTTAGTCAAAAGTCTTTTTCATTCAAGTCAGTGAACTCTGAGTAATGCCTTGGTGGTCCCCTAAAGTTGGTGGACACTGAGAGAGAGAGATGGGTTTATGGTGCACTCAACCCTAACCATGCCATTTCGGGACTAACATATGGTTCAATTTTAATTCAATAATTTGCTTGAATGCAGGGGTCTTGAGCAGTGGGATGAAACTGGGAGACCCAGAGAAAACCCTTGAGCTTGGACAAGTATTTTGTACAATATTTACCTGGTATTTTTGAAGTATTTTGTACAATATTTAGGAATCTATGGATTGTTTCTTGTTCCTCATCTCCACCATATGATGTTGTATTGGATTCTTTACTAGCTGCTTCATCTGTTTCTATTTTCTATTTTAAAACAAATCACTCGCATTTTATTTATAACTGAGTAAACTTAAACATACATTATGTAAGAGCTAAATCTTCCTATTGCAGGTCTTTCTGTAGGCCTGAAATGTTATCTAAATTATTAATTAGACATTAATTAACTTATCAACTCTCGATCGCAGCGCTAGCCTGGGTTGTTTATTGGATTAGGTTTCGATTTGCTGTTTGACTTCCTTTCATAATTTAATAATGAAATGGATAATCGAGACTATGTATTTCATCCTACTGAATTTAGTAATGATGATCGAGGCTAGGCAGAAAATTCAATCGCTAAAATCTTGGTTCATAGTGGATCAATTCGACTGAAAATTTCAGCAAATTCCCTTTACATTATGTAGTTTTTAACCATTATAGTGAGAACTGCCAGCTCTTTATCTAATCTCTCATAATGTATCTTTAATGTAGAAATTTGTTTCAATAATTTAGTAATTGAATTGGAATATACAGGTCACAATTCTATAGAATACAATTACTACTTATTACTGAGCGACGTTTCTTGATAATGACCAGAGAAGCCTAGTCGAAACGTCGCTCAGCAATAAACAGGAATACAATTACTGCTTATTATTTCTCTCCCTCGCCTTGCTAATTGTTTCAGTGGTATTTAGTAATTGAACTGGAATACACAGGTCCATACTGATATCTGTGTATTCCAGTTCAATTATTAAATGTCTGTGTATTTTTATGTACAAGTCAGTGGGATGTGCCAGAAAACTGAGGTCTCATATATGCCATTGGCAGTACATTAAAGATCCTCTGATCGTTGGAAATCAAAAAGATAGCAGACCCTAGAAAACTGCACATCTTCATTGGCAAGTTTGGTGCAGAAAAGTAGGATGTTAAAACCCCATTTTATTTCATGTCTGTAATATAACTAAACTACAATTTCCTCTCACATAATTACCTTATTGGATAATTACCATATTGTATAACAGATTGTATATTTACCATATTGTATAACTATTTTATTGTATATCATACTGTATAGTTAAATTATTGTATATTAGAATGTGTAATTACCTTATTGTATTACAGCTTGTATATTTACCATATTGTATAATAACTTATTGTATATCATATTGTATAATTACCTTATTGTATATTAGAATGTATAATTACCTTATTGTATATTAGAATGTATAATTACCTTATTGTATATCATATTGTATAATTACATTATTGTATATTAAACATAATTACCCGATTGTATAAAAGATTGTATAATTACCTTATTGGATGGTATAAACTCTGGTACTGGTATAGTGACTAAAATATTTCTTATACAGTTATATTCTAAATCCTGTAAATAGAAAATAAATTTCATTCAAGCATAATACTAATTTTATTACATGTTGTCATGTGGGTATAAGGTATTCTGGAAGACTAAACACAGCCTGCATTACGTACAATAAGATACATCTTTCTAGGTGTTATCAAGTATTATTTTCATTCTGATGCTTTTCAGGGCGTGGTTTCCCCTTATCAGTGGTGTAGGACGGAGAGCCTGATAAGGACAGATGTCTAGTTGTTTTCGGATGGGACCAAAAGCTCAGGTCCCCATGTAGACATTGGCGTGCACGTAAAAGATCCCTTGGCAGTTGGAATTTGATATAAGAGTAGATCATAGTGCCCAGGAAAACTTCCCTCATAGCACACTGTGTAGCGTATGCCCGTCTTCATTAGCCCAGCCGGAGCAGAATAGCAGGACATAAAACACCATTTCATTCCATTTTCATTTTCAGGGAATTAAGGGGGTATCAAAACGGCAAATGAATCAATAAAAATTTAAAAATGTCAATTCCCATGAGTTGAGCCACCATCTTTTTTCTTAATAATTTAAAAAATTGGTTTTGAATTTATTTTGCAGAAGAAAAAAAGATTAATACTGAGAGTTAATTAATTCGCCCCGAGGTCTTCCCTTTGACCAGGAGAATATTTATGGCTGGTCAGTTCTCTTTGAACGTATATTTAGAATAGACAATAAACCAACCTGCGGTGTCCAGGTCACATGACTAATATCAGCGTAAAGCCGAGAACAACTCTGTATATATAACATATGCCTGGAAAATAAAAATATTTATTTTAATAAACCTTAAAGGGGCAATATAGATTAGATATAGAGTTGACAGTTCTCACTATAAAAGTTAAAAATTAGATAACGTAAATAGAATATGCTGAAAATTTCAGTCAAATTGCCCCACTCTGAACAGTCGATCATCATTACTAAAGTCGGTATGATAAAAAACAAAGTCACGACTATCCATTTTCAAAAAATGTATTCCAATCTGCTAAATAATGCAGGCTAGCGATGGTATCCAGAGTTGATTATGGTCTGGATAAATTAATTAATGTCTAATTAATAATTCAGATAACATTTCAGGCCTAAAGAAAGACCTGCAATAGGCTGATTTAACTCTTGCATAATGTATGTTTAAAAATAGAAATGGGCTTTAATGTCCATTGATACAAACAAACTAGGTCTTTTTAGGACATATGTTTCAATTTTATTTCAATAATTCTCCTGTGAGTAGAGAGCTTTAGCCGTGGGGAAGGGGGTAGGGGGGGCAGAAGGACTTGAAGAGAAAAACTGCATAATTGGAAATATTGAATAGACGCCTGAAAAAATATTTAGATGTTGGCAATATAAAAATTTTTACTTACAAATCGTTATTGGGATTAAATTCTATTGGTGCAGGTGGTCGTTTAGGTGACTGCCAAAATGGACCTGTAGAATAAATAAAACATCAAATATAGTTGACTTATAATGAGAGAGAGAGAGAGAGAGAGAGAAAGAGAGAGAGAGGGAAATGGGGTTTAACGTCTACTCGACACAAACAACTAAGTCATTTCGGGACTAACATAGTTTAATTATATTTCAATAATTCGTTTGTGAGTAGGTGTCTTTAATTAGCAGTGGGAGGAAACCGAAGGACTCGGAGAAAAGCCACGAGTTGACTTTAAAGATGAAAGAGCTAAATCTGACTATTGCAGGTCTTTTTGCTGGCTTCAAATCTTGGATATTAACAGTTATTAACATGACAAGCCCATTATCAACTCTCTGGGCCATTGGATGGCTCCTATTTTAAGTACATTAGAACACTGAATATTGCAGATCTTTCTGTTGGCTTCAAATGTTATATGAATTAATAATTAGACATTGATTCACATAACAAACCCAAAATCAACTCTCTAGAACATTGGATGGTCGCAATTTTTAATGGATTGAAACAAAATCGTCTTTTAATAATCCAATTAAACAAGCAATTGCCATGCAAGATCTGCCCAAATTTTGCAAGAAATGGACAGAGAAAAAGCTAAAAAAAGATGTAATTTTTTGTACAATCAGGGGCCATAATCCCAGAAGTTACAGTCCGATATGCGTGAATATCTACAGGAACCTAGAGCTACCTCTAGAGGGTCCACAACCTTGATACATTATTTGCATACGAGGAGCGGCCATTTTGTCTCACAGTTTTGGTCCGATTTTCACGAAATTTGAACTCAAATGACATTATGGTGTAATGGTGATACATTTGAACGTTTTTTTTTTTAATCGGATAATGTTGACATATAAAAATGGATAATCAAGACATTGTTTTTTTGGTTCTTTAAAACAATATTTTATTCAGGATATCTAAATGGGATTGGGGAACAGGATTAGCCTATCTAAAACCCCTCTTCCTAATTGTAAACTATTATTAGAATATTGTAGGAAATGAAATGAAATAAAATGGGGTTTAGCGTCCTGCTCTTCTGTACCGACTGGGCTAATGAAGACGGACATACATCATACAGTGTGCTATGAGCAAAATGTTGCCCGAACAGCAGCGCTACAGCCTACTCTTATATCGAATTTCAACTGTCAAGGGTCCATTTATGTGCAAGCCAATGAGGACACGGTGACCTTGATTTTTCGTCCCATGCAAAAGACAATACATTGTCCCTTGCCAGGCCCTCCGTCTTGCACCACTGACAAGGGCGACAATATTGTAAGAGGAATCTATATTAAATCAACCTACTTCCATCCGACAGAGTTGTATCCAGTGGAAAACTATGTAAAAGTTGTTTTGCCTGAAAACAGAATATTAAAACAATCTGTTATAAAAACCTCTCCTGCAAGTTTAACATTTATGAAATACACAAGAGTTTTGGAGGTACTTGTTGTGTCAATAATTCGCTTGCACGTAGATGTCTTTAGCAATGGGAGGAAACAGGATGACCCAAAGAAAACCCACGAGGTTGGACAGAGGACCCAACTCCTCATCAAGTTGAGGCGGGGATTAGAAACCATGCCACTCGACTCAATCTAGACCTTGTGATTTCATTAAAATTAAATACAGAAATTTAAATTAAACATTATATACAGAAACTCCTACTAAAACAACTAAATAACACCTGATGAGATGTAGTGAAAGGAGAGAGATAGGGTTTAACGTCCAATCAACACAAACTAGGTCATTTCGGGACTTATACATGATTAAATTTTATTTCTATAATTCGCTTGTGCGTAGGGGTCTTTAGCAGTGGGAGGAAACCGGAGGACCCAGAGAAAACCCACGAGGTTGGACAGACGACCCTCCTCCTTGTCATGTACAACTGGGGAATTGAAACCATGCCAGTTGACTCAATAACAGACCTTATGATACAGCACAAACATGCTAACCATTCGGCCATCCAACCCCCCTGTAGTGAAAGGAGTTGAAGTTATTTACCTTATGATTGAAGTATTTCTCAAACTTGAGTCTAGCAAGTCGAACACAATCTGACCAAGTTGTAGGTCGACTAGCGGCTGATTTACTAACTTTAACCGAACCTTCTAGCATCTCTTCTCTCTTTAATCTCTGTGGACAAAAAAAAACCCTTCATGTGATTCGTGTATTCATTTAAAACAGTCACAAAAACTCATACAATTCATTTAATTGTTTTCGTAACACGTGCAGGTCACCTTTTCAAGTTAAAAATAAATATCCATCAAGTCAGGCTCCTGCTATTTATACATATATGAGCTTCCGTGAACCTTATTGATAGTAACAGTGACCTTGAAAAACGTGACCTGTATGTGTTACGAAACATCGTTATTAAATAACAGCAATCAGATTAAAACACAGATCCCATTTCGTTTCGTTTTTTATAGTTCAAAATTTCATTTTACTTGTCTTTACTACACTAGGATCTGGAAGAGTTGATATATCGCCAGCGTTTTGGTTGAAGTGAGGGATAAGTCAATGAAACGGTCTATTATAGCGAATTCTTGGCGTGCGGTGCAAGGAACTGTGGGTAAACCACTAGAAACGTCAACGCTGATTGATCAATCAATGTCTGACGTCATATGGTCAAAAGCCGCTAGTTTGACCCTTTACGGGACCTCCCACTACAAATGGTCAGATTTTCATGTAGTGTTGGCCAGTGAAATGAAATATAGATGTGTATTTTAATCAGATTGAAATAAGAGAGAAGTAGTTATATCCATATATATGTTGTGTTGTTTTTTGTTGGAAATTGTATGTAATAGTCATACAGAAAATTCACTGTAACCTTTGTACCATTTAATCTTGTGTATCTAGCACTAATTTCTTTCACACTCATTTAATATTAAATCTTTGTTTCAAAATTCGTAAAAATAATTTAAAATCACCCCAAATCATCTAATTTGTACTTGTGTCCAGTTTAAAGTTGACTGATTAATTTTGATAATGAAAGTCCAATTTACAAGTATTTAATTTCCTGACCATTGTTCAAAAATTAATCATTATACATCACTAATCAATTGGGTTGTTTATATTTTTAACAGTGATCAAGAAATTAAATGCTGATAAATTGGACAGTGTGACAATCATTATGAAAATTGAAAGGTCAGATTTAAACTGGACAAAGACTCACATATTTGATGTAATTAATTTAAATAAGAAATATATTTACCTCTAGAATATTATTGATATCTCCGTTAGTTGACCAGAATTTATTATATAACTGAGGCTTCTGTACAAACGCTTGTTCAAACTACAATATATATAATAAAAACATCTCTTAGACAATATGGACCATTTCAAACTAGGACAGCGTCACTACGGAACTCTTATATCACTCAGAGTGAATTTTGCTAGGACAGCGTCACTACGGAACTCTTATTTCACTTTGAGCGAACCTGAGACCACCAGATTAGCGAGCCAATGTCTTACTCACTGAGTCTGAGTCACTGTAGTTCCCTAGTAGATTTATGAATGAAACATAATTAATGGTTTGACTACCTTATCTCTAGCCCACTGTATACAGTGTTCTATTGTTGCAGGAAATGATTTTACTGTACAGTATGGATAATCTTCATCAGGTGGATCTCTCTATAAATAAATCAAATTACAGCTGTATTACATAAAAAAATAGATGTTCTTGCTATAATAGTTCAAAAATAATCTTTTAGAGGCATTTAGTAACTGGATAGAGCAATAAACTATAACACATACTTATGGAAAAACAGTTACTGATTTATTTGGGCGACGAAGAGTATTCTTTCAACGTTATCAAACTATTTGGGTGACGTTCTGAATAGTATTCTCTTAACGTTATCAAGCTAATTGGGTGACATTTCGAATAGTATTCTCTTAACGTTATCAAGCTAATTGGGCGACGTTTCGAATAGTATTCTCTTAACGTTATCAAGCTAATTGGGTGACGTTTCGAACAGTATTCTCTCAACGTTAACATACTAATTTTAGCTTGATAATTTTGAGAGAATACTCTTCGAACTGTCGCCCAAATAAATAAGTAGCTGCCTTTCCATAAGTATGTGTTATAGTTTATATTTCAAAAATAGATAATGAAAATGAATATATTGAAAATTTCATTTAAATTACTTTAAATTAAGTTATGATTGAATATGATTCATAATGGATCCATATTATTACCACTGATCAGCAGTATATCCTATTACTAAAAAAAAAGACCTGTACAAACCTGACTACTATAGGATTCTGTTAAATGTGGTACTATAACCTGTACATGACCTTTAGTCCCCATTGTACCAGACTCTAATAATGGTTTCTGATTGATTACACACCGTCTATTAAAATAAAAACAAAATAATTCTCAAGTTGATTAAAACAATTCATGAGATAATTTAATAATTTGTTTGCGTGTAAGGGGTCTTTAGCAGCAGGAGGGGACCAAGGGACCTGGAGAAAACCTGCTAGATTAAGCAGACCATACTACTCTTCATCACAAACAAGCCTGAAATTGAATCAATGCCATGTGACTCAATGACAGACCTTATGATGTAAAGTGGATGTATTAGACAACCCAACCCCCTTCAAGGAATTTTTTGTAGTCAGAATAACATTAGAAGCATAGCTTGAAAACAACAATACTTTGATGACTGCACGCTGGGGTCTTCAGCAGTGGTAGGAAACCCACAAGGTTGGACAGAAGACACGTATAAGCAGGGAATCGAAACCACACCCAATGACAGACCTTATGATGCAACAGACTTGCATTAATTATTCGATTCTGTTACCCAACCCCCCACGCCAGTATATCTGAACTTATAATATAAAATCTTACCCATCCATATATCGGCGAGCTTCTACGTTATCTAAAGCGTTAACAATCACATCCTGTTGTTCAAAAAATCCATCATTATAAACTGACTCTTCTGTCTGCGGACAAACTAACAAAATATAATAAATACATATCATGTTTAACTGTAGCCAACGTCTGAAATTCAATGAATGGCTGAAATTCATCATCTATTGGATAAATTATAATAACCCTATAAATTCAAGGCGATTCACAGACAACTGATGATATCATTACTTTGGATTAACCAGATAATTCTTTAAAATATTCATGTGGTTTATATGAAGGCTTTTATTTAAAGATCAATATGGAAGATTAGATAAAGAGCTGGCAGTTCTCACTATAATAGTTAAAATCTAGATAATGTAAAGGGAATATGTCGCTATTTGTAATGATGGGCCTGGTCTACCAGTTGATATGCCGGCCATCCTCGGTATCCCCAGTGGTCCCATTCCATTCTACTCCACTATACCCTGGGTTCGTCTATGGAGGAGACACGTAGTCAAATAATATATCCTCGATAACTGTGCTATTTTTATCGACCAACATGCTTAAAAGCGTAACGACTTGCCACTGAATGTTTGTACCGACATAAAAACATCTTTCCCATCAAAAAGATGCTTCAGGACATGTTTATTTGTGCATGTTTTTGCAAACTTTCTCATAATCGAGCGAACAATCAGTCATATTGCTGTGGATGTAAACAATGAGACCAAGATTGGTTTGTAAACTGTTTTTTAGACTGGTTCATAGAATCAATGTGAATACCCCATGGATTAACCCAGGGTATACAGGAATGGAATGAGATCACTGTGGATATCGAGGATGAACCCAGAGCATAGTGGAGTGGAACGGAATGACACCACTGTGGATATCGAGGATGAATACAGGGTATAGAGGAGTGGAATGGAATGAGACCACTGTGGATATAGAGTATGAATGCAGGGTATAGAGGAGTGGAACAGAATGAGACCACTGTGGATATAGAGGATGAATGCAGGGTAAAGAGGAGTGGAACGGAATGAGACCACTGTGGATATCGAGGATGAACCCAGGGTAAAGAGGAGTGGAACGGAATGAGACCACTGTGGATATAGAGTATAGAGGAGTGGAACGGAATGAGACCACTGTGGATATAGAGTATAGAGGAGTGAAACGGAATGAGACCACTGTGGATATCGAGGATGTATGCCGACATAACAATTATGTCAATCGCCGAATTTCTCAAATAATCTTCATAATGTGATTTAATTCATAAATATATTTCATTAGATTGAAATTATAGACAAATATGAATAATAATTAGTAGACATGATTGGGTCTACTTGTGTATGTACTGTTTGTTCACTTTTACTTTCGTGTACAGTTATCCTGTATTAATTGTTTATTATAGTTTGTTCAGTTTTTATATTGTTGCACAGTTATTCTTCTTGTCGTCTAATTTTGTAATTTAATTGGAGAAAATTTACCTTTATGTTGCTGTGCTTCAATCTTCAGTTCTACAATAGAAAGAACAAGAATTAATACTTTTACATAAATAAATAAAAAATATGTCCAGGTAAGAAATTCACCACTTTACTTTATTCGCATATAAACTTTTATTTCAATAATTCCCTTGCGTGTAGGAGTCTTTAACAGTGGGAGGAAACCGGAGAAAACCCACAAGGTTGGATAGGCGAACCTACTCCTTGTCACGTGCAACCGGGGAATTGAAACCAGGCCAGTTGACTCAATGACAAAAATTATGATACAGCACATGTGCTAACCATTCGGCCATCCACCCCCACCCCCAGGTAAAGTCCAACAAAAGGTTATAAAAGTATATAATATGACATAATTTACATAGTCTTCCTGGTATAATCTGACAATACTACAATACAGGAGTAATGATTTATGTTACAAGAATTCTCTTTAGCAATGTCATCTTATTGGATCCAATATTTCAAATATTATTTTGTGAAAGAACATCTGAAAAAAGCTCATTGATGGTGATTTATTAATAGCTTATGCAAAAACATGAAATGCACTGTTATATGAGGGAAATCATTGAGTTCCAAATATAAAAGCCATGACAAGAAATACACAATAAACAATAAAACACTGTAACAGATCTAGGACATCAGCTGGGCCAATCTGATTAAAAAACAGATCCTATTTTGTTTTGTTTTTTTATAGTTCAAAATTTCGTTTTACTTGTCTTTACTACACTAGGATCTGGAAGAGTTGTGATATAACCTGCATTCTATATGACGTGAGGAATTAGCCAAAGAAACGTAACGCTGATTAATTAATCAATGTCTGACGTCATAGGGTCAAAAGCCGTTCGTACGACCCTGACACGACCTATCACTACAAACGGTCAGATCTTCATGTAGGCCATCGAACGTATAAAAAAAACTAAACTAAACATAGATTTGTATTTTAATTAGATTCCTGCTAGCGGGACAACTTCCAACCACGTCATTATTTTCATTTTTTTTTTTTAGTATAGTTTAAATCTGTTGATTTTATTGCCAGTGATTTTTAATCTGTTTAAAATACAGATCTATATTTCGTTTTTTTTTTCAATACTTTCGGTGGCCTACACTAACAACATGGAGATCTGACCGGCTGTAAGGATAGGTGGCATCAGAGGTCATACGAGCGCCTTTTGACCCTATGACATCAGACATTTGATTAACCAATCAGCATTAATGTTACTAGTGGATTACCCACACTTCCGTGCAAAACACACCTAAAGTTCGCTGTAACAGAACGTTTCATTGGCTAATCCCTCACACAATTCAAAACACTTCAATGATAACAACTCTTCCAGGTCCTAGTGTAGTAAAGACAAGTAAAACGAAATTTTGAACTATAAAAACGAAAGGAAATAAGATCTGTATTTTGATCAGATTGAGTGATTTTATCTGTTCTTTTTAGTTACCTGGATTTATCTCTAATACAGACAGAGCTGCTGTTATAGATTTCGGCATCTAAAAAAACAAATTAAATTATTATCTCAAATATACAAACATTTTCATCTATTAAATAACTCAAATGAAATGAGGTGTAACATCATACTTTTCTGCACCAAGTGGGCTTATGAAGATGTGTAGAAATAAGTACCGCAAATCCAAATGTCTGATGTAAAATTTCGAATCTCCTGTTGTACGTGACAAGGAGTAGGGTTGCCTGTCCAACCTTGTGGGTTTTCTCCGGGTCCTCTGGTTTCCTCCCACTGCTAAAGACCCCTACGTGCAAGCGAATTATTGAAATAAAATTAAGCCATATGTTAGTCCCAAAATGACCTAGTCTGTGTCGAGTGGACGTTAAACCTCATTTCTCTTTCTCTCTGATGTAAAATAGCCTTGATAGAAAGGAAAGGAGTCTAATGTTTCGTCTACACAATATTTTGATCATTTTGAAACTTACATACAGTTGTTCTTCCTTTGGTCAAGGGTTATGTGTTGTGCGTGCCAACGTGTACATAGATGGTCTGGTCTCCTGTAATCTGGATAAACCTAGTAAGTCTGTGGAATGCAAATTTGAGAAAACAAAGGAAACTGTTTTGTTTCAGGATTAAGCCACTGAATATAACAGATTTTTTATTTGGGCTTTTTCGATGAAGATAATTAGAAGCCTTTTCAGTGAAGGAAATGAAATGAAATGGGGTTTAACGTCCTACTGTTTTGCTCCTAACTGGGCTAATGAAGACGGGCATACGCCATGCAGTGTGCTATGAGGGAAATTTTGCCCGGACAGCGGCACTACGGCCTACTCTTATATCGAATTCCAACTGTCAAGGGATCTTTAACGTGCACGCCAATGTGTACATGGGACCTTGGTTTTTCGTCTCATCCGAATGACTAGACAGCTGTCCTTGTCAGGCCCTCCGTCACTGACAAGGGGGAATTTCAGTGACGGAGAAAAACCTATATTATAAACTAAATCCAAATATGGGTCTAACACAATTTTCACCAAAATTTGACTTACTAGAATCTTCCAATTACACAAGCTATATTTTCCATCCCATTCGATTCAGTATTAGGCAACACTTTACTTGTCAGTGTCAGCCCTGCAGATACTGCCACTAACAAGTGGGAATCCCTATTCTGGCATTTGAACCTGGGACTGCCAAGGGTTCTTTTACATGCAAGCCAATGTGTACACAGGACTATATGTTGTCTCTTGACAGACTCGCTGTCCTGCACCAATCACAGGGGGAAGCATGCCAGAAAATTTCGGAGAAATTTTCTCAGCCAAAACCGGGTGCAAACCTGAGACTGCCTGGTTAGCAATCCGTCTTACTCACTGAGCCACTGCAGCTCCGCAATTGGCAGATAGACATGCCTTCGATCAGTCAATATAACTTACACTGGTATATGGTCAATAGTCAATATAACTTACCCTGATATATGGTCAACAGTCAATATAACTTACCCTGATATGTGATAAACAGTTAATATAACTTACCCTGATATATGGTCAACAAGCAATATAACTTACCCTGATATGTTTTGGTCGAAACAGGAATTGACGATTTAAATTTGATTTTTCTATTAAATCATTATCTGTTATAGTGATCTGAAACAAAAAAAATGTCAAATGAAATAAAATCAATTATCGTTACTGTTCAAGTATCAGTACGTCCATATTTGGAATCTACGATAAAATGTACTTAGATTATTTAAATCAACTCGGCGGCACATGTGACAGTGGCTTTTGACCAGTATATTGTTAATATCAACAGCAGACAGGATGGCGAATTTTGACAAATTTTCAATTCATCATAATGTTGAACGTTGACAAATTTTCAATTCATCATATCTTTGTTACTACTGAACGGAATTGAAACAAACTCGAACTGTAAACACAAAAACATAATATAGAACACAATTACTACTGAAGTGCTTTCGCTGTTGATTATTGGTTAATTTAGACGTTGTTACTTGTTTTTGTATATATATCTTGATAATACTGACCAGAACTCTCAAGAAAAAATGAAATAAAATAGGGTTTAATGCCCTACTGTCCTGCTTCGCCCGGGCTAATGAAGGCAGGCATACGCCATACAGTGTGCTATGAGGGAAATTTTGCCCGCACATTTGCACTTTGGCCTACTCTTATACCGAAATCAAACTGCCAAGGGATCTTTTACATGCATGCCAATGTATACACAGGACCTCAGGTTTTTTGTCCCATCCAAACGACTAGACAGCTGTCCTTGTCAGGCCCTCCGTTCTGCACCACTGACAAGTGATTGTGTTCCATATTATGTTTTTGTGTTTATTACATTTGTCAACTGCTAAATTCTGCTCAAAGAAGATATTCAGACTTTCTTTTTTTTTAACAATGAAAGTTTACAAGTGATTCGTACCTGACCTCTGTGACCTCGACTTATTCCCATCAAAGCGTAATTCTTCAACATTTCACATCCTATGGCACCACATCCAACCTAAAAATAGAATAACTCAAAACTCACAACTCAAGTTAAAACATGTACAGCTAGCAAAATATTTAAGTAAAGTATATATGACACTCTTTTCAGGTGGAGCCACAGTGATTGGTTAGTATGGTGTGGGTTTACTAAACAGGAGTAGGGTCGCCTGTCCAACCTCATGGGTGTTCTCCGGGTCGTTCGGTTTCCTACCACTGCTAAAGACCCCTACATGCACGCAAATTATTGAAATAAAATCGAACCACATGTTAGTCCGGAAATGACCTAGTTTGTGTCGTTGAGTGGACGTTAAACCCCATTTCTCTCTCTTTGATCCCATTATTGGCCAAGAAAGTTCCTCAGCTTGTTCCCCCTTGTCATTGGTTCAACACAAAGGGCCTGTACTGCATGTAAAAGAGTCTAGTTGGTCGAATGGTATGAAAAACTCAAATCCAAAGGTTTACCACTGGCACCATGTTAAAATTGGAAACTGTTATAAGAACAGGCAGGTGGCAAGGCATTCAAAATCCTTCAAAAAATGATCAAAAGATTTAATAATTACAGAATGGTAACTAGTGCTCCTACGGCTAGTCAGATAACCGTTAGAATTGGACGGTTAAACGGTTAGAATTGAATGGTACGGTTATTCGGAGATGTCCACTATTACATAGAGTTATGTCCCAAAAAATTCTTCTATATTACAAAAGTTTTTACTTATCCTGGTGAGCCATGTTTGAAAGTCTTAGAATGTAACTGTCGCCTCATGATGTTGACTGCTAAAAAATAGTACAATTCTATCTCGCACCTCATGACAAGGTCTGTTTTATGTTGAAAATTGATACCAAATGGTTAAATGGTTACTAACCGGTTAATAGCTACAGTTATTCGAATAACAAAAAGTCCTAACCGTAGGCCATACAAAAAATATATATTCTGGTTCTCAAATAATCCATCCTAAAAATCTGAAGACGGAGAGAGGTTTTGTTTTTGTGTTTTGTGAAAGGAACACCACTTGGCTAAACGAGAATATTTATTTTATATAGCCTAGAGTAATTCTTACCATAAAGAGTCTAGTATTGGCTAACTGTTCAACTTTATCTTCACCGACACAGATTCTTAAACTGTCATATCTATCACCTCTGTAATATTAATTATACAATAAACCACAGAGAGAGAGAGAGAGAGAGAGAGAGAGAGAGAGAGAGAGAGGTTCAATGTCCACACGCCACATGGTTCAATTTTATTTTAATAATTCATTTGAGTAAAGGGGTCTTTAGCAGTGGGAGGAAACTTGAGGACTTGCAGAAAACCCATGAGGCTGGACAGTCGACACTACGCATTGTCATCGTAATTTTAATATTGCAGAATCTTAATATGGTAATTTAGATCTCCACATGGTACTTCTAGCACATCAGTATGTTCACATTATACTTTTAGAATCTTCAAATGGTAATTTTAGAATCTTCAAATGGTAATTTTAGAATCTTCAAATGGTAATTTTAGAATCATTACATGGTATTTTAAGAAAATCAGAATCATTACATGATAGTTTTAGAATTCATGAATATTTGTTTGGTGATTTTAGAATTCATGAATCTTTACATTGTAATTCTAGAATCTTTACATTGTAATTCTAGAATTTTTACATGGTAATTCTAGAACCTTTACATGGTAATTCTAGAATCTTTACATGGTCATTCTAGTTTACATGGTCATTCTAGTTTACATGGTAATTCTAGAATCTTTACATGGTAATTCTGGAATCTTTACATGATAATTCTAGTTTACATGGTAATTCAAGAATCTTTACATGGTAATTCTAGAATCTTTACATGGTAATTCTAGTTTACATGGTAATTCTGGAATCTTTACATGGTAATTTTAGAATCTTTACATGGTAATTCTAGAAAATTCATTCTTTGTATAATTTTGGATGACTTACCTTTTCTTGAATTGATCAGTTGACTGTTGTTCAGGAATGAGTTCTGTGGCATCTAAATATAACTACAGAAAAATAAAAGCAATGTATTAGTCTGTACATAATACATATGTGTTGATAGGGGGTTGGATTGTCGAATGGTTAGCGTGCGCGCGCGGTATCATAAGGTTTGTGATTGAGTCAACTGGCGTGGTTTTGACTCCCCGGTTGAACGTGACAAGGAGTAGGGTCGTTTGTCAAACCTCATGGGTTTTCTTCGGGACCTCCCGTTTCCTCCCACTGCTAAAGACCCCTATACGTAAGCGAATTATTGTAATAAAATTGAACCATATGTTAGTCCCTAAATGATCTAGTTTGTGTTGAGGAGACATTAAACCCCATTTCTCAATCAGCGTTGACATTTCTACTGGTTTACCCACAGTTCCGTGCATGACACGCCAAGAAGTCGCCGTAACAGACCGTTTCATTGGCTAATCTCTCACTTCAACCAAAACGCCGGCAATATAACAACTTTTCCAGATCCTACTGTAGTAAAGACAAGTAAAACGAAATTTTGAACTATAACAGATGATAACAACTCTTCCAGATCCTAGTGTGGTAAAGACAAGTAAAACGAAATTTTGAACTATAAAAAAAAAGAAACGAAATAAGATCTGTGTTTTAATCAGATTGAAAACACTGTTAAAAAATCAATTTCCCAATTGATTATTAATTGATTTCACTCTCTCTTGATCCATTTACTTACCCATTGAACTAAAGGTGTAAATTTTCCTGTCAAAGCTTTTAATGCCTCTTGTGCAACAAATCCACCAATAGTAGCACATATAGGGGCTAGACAACCCTGATTCGTGTAACATAAATATTGCAATAATTTCTCGTCTACAGATTCAATTTCTTTATTTAGATCTTTAGCTAATGATAGGAACAGATCTCCATCTTCTGGACACCTGTAAAATAACAAACAGAATAAATAAATTCCATAAATTGTATATCGTTCACGAATATTTAAATACTCAAACAATTTTTGAAGGTTTATGGTGGCGAGATGTTTAACTCCATCCCTGGAAGGGAGCTACGGTGGCTCAGTGAGTAAGGCACTGGTTCTCTATTCTGGAGGTCGCGGGTTCGCTCCCGGTGTTGGCCGAGAAAGTTCATTGGGATTTTCTGGCGTGGTTTCCCCATGTTAGTGGTGCAGAATGGAGGGCCTGACAAGGACAGCTGTCTAGTCGTGCAGACAGGATGAAAAAGTGAGGTCCCGTGTACACATTGGCGTGCACGTAAAAGATCCCTTGACAGTTGCAATTCGATAAAAGAGTAGGCCATAGTGCTGCTGCCGGGCAAAATTTCCCTCTCATAGCACACTGCATGGCATATTCCCATCTTCATTAGCTCGGCCAGTAGGAGCAGAATAGTAGGACGTTAAACCCCATTTCATTTCTATTCCTGGAATGGCCCTGGTTTGAATCACATTGTGGGCAGATAAAAAACCTTGGGATTTCCCAAGAACGTTTTCACTTGTCAGCGGCAGTGCATGCATTACATGTTTTGCCAGGTTGTCCAGATGGGACAAAAAATTAAGGTTAACATATCGAGTTCATGTAAAATAACTCTTGACAGTCGAAATTCGAAGAAGGGTGGGCAAAAATGAAGTTGTATGGAGAAAAATTCTCCTACACAGCATTGCAATAAAATCTATATGTTAACATCAAATTAATGGACACTGTAACTCTGATTAAAATACAGTAATTGTTTTACATTGAACTGTTGTGTTTATGATAATTAAACATACATTATGCAAGAGCTAAATCTGCCTATTGAAGGTTTTTATTTTGGCCTCAAATTTTATATAAATTATTATTTAACGATAGGTTCCCAGAAAAGTATTTATCGGGTGGTTATTTTCAATAAAGGTATGTCAATTTTGGTATATATGGAAAGTAGAAATATCCAATCTTACTAGATAAATACTGGAGGCCCTAAAAAACACTCATGGAGCGCATAAAGGGCAAAACTGTAAGGGTTTCCCTAAACGACAGCCCAATGATTAGGAGTGTCTGCACGTGTGACGTCGAAGGTCGCACGAGGAGAGTGAGCGCTTGATGTACATGTTGATAAACTTTATGATGTACATGTTGATAAACAGTTTCTGAGTTAAAAACCCTGGAAAAAAACTTGGGTAGTGGATAATCCGAGAATTTAATTAGGCTTCGATATTTGTAAAAAATAGTCAGCGATTAAAGACAACATCGTCTTGTGTATGCAATGAATTCTCCAGAGAGAGGTAAGTCACGTGACACAAACATGACCTCTTTTGATCGATTTTTTTATTGTAAGGGTATTCCTTGGCAAATGCAATATTTTGAGAAGGATTTGAAGCAAAATTATGATAAATTAATTAATTTGAATATGTTTTTAGTCCAAATGTATCAACAGATCACCCAGTTTGACAAGCCCATAATCAAGTGTCTCGACCATAGGATGGTTGTGATTTTGAATGAATTGAAACATAAAATTATCATTTTAAAATTTTTAATTTCTGTTGCCTAGGGGACAGCCACAACCAGAGTTATCGTTTTTTTTTGTTTTTTTTCAATTTCTGCATTGTTCCCTCGTGGATGCTGTCTTAAACAATAAACTCAATGATGGACCAAGTCTTAAATGAAGTTATTGTACTTACCAGACTTCAGGTAGTCTGTTTTGTTTCTGCATGAAGGAATGTAACGTAAGAAAACCAAGGTGGGTCACAGATGGAGCCTGAAAAAATTATTTAAAAAAATCCTATTTATATTAAAAAGCAACATGGAATTATTGTCATCGACCATGATCTGAATCAAAATATTTGATGTGTACAGAGACTCAGACCACAACATTCATGTACCATCATTTTTTATAATTATTTGAATGCTTGATAAAAACAAGATAATTCTAGTCGAAACGTCGCTCAGCAACAAACAGTAACTGTATTCTATAGATAGATAGATAGAGATGGGGTTTAAAGATGGGTTCCCAGGAAAGTATTTATCGGGTGGTTATTTCAAATAAAAGTATGGCAATTTTGGTATATATGGAAAGTAGAGATATCCAATCTTATTAGAAAAATACTGGATTCCCCGAAAAACACTCATGGAGCGTATACAGGACAAAAATGTAAGGGTTCCCCTAATCAACAGCCCGACAATTAGGAATTTCTGCATGCATAATGTCAAAGGTCACACGCGAACATTGAGCGCTTGATGTACAAGTTGATAAACTTTATGAAGAGTTAGACATACAACACTTTCTGAGATAAAAATGACGGAAAAAGACGCTGGTAGTGGATAATCCGAGAATTTAAATAGGATTCGATATTTGTAATAAATAGTAAGCGATTAAAGACAACATCGTCTTGTGTATACAATGAATTCTCCTCTGACTCCCAAGTGAGGTAAGTCACGTGAAGTAAACATGACCTGGTTTGATCGAATTTTTATAGCAAGGCATTCCTTCGCAATTACAATGTTTGAGAAATAAAATGAAATGGGGTTTAACGTCCTACTGTTCTGCTACAATGTTTGAGAAGGATTTGAGAAATTAATTAGTTTGATATATTAGTCCATATATATCATTAAATCACCCAGTTTGTACCGGGAATGTATCTTTAACATCCACTCGATACAAACTAGGTCATTTCGGGACTAACACCATTGCTTGATAATGACTAGGGAACCCTTAGTCGAAACGTCGCTCAGTAGTAAACAGTAATTGTATTCTATAAAACTGTGACCTGGAGATTTCCAGTTCAATTACTAAACAGAGGTGGGAACTCAAGTCCTGCGACTCACACTCGTCACTGTCTTACGTCACAATAAGGATCAAACTTGTCACTCAACTGTGACCTGTATATTTCCAGTTCAGTTACTAAACAGACTTACACTCGACCCCATCTTTACTTACTTACTGGCGTGGTTTCGAATCCCCGGTTGTACGTAACAAGGAGTAGCGTCGCCAGTCCAACCTCGTGGGTTTTCAGTGGTGGGCAAACTATTTAGGTGAAGGGCCAAACACAAAGTTTTGATACAAAGCAAGGGGTGGGCAAATCAGTGTTGATCAGTGTCTTGTTATGTTAATTAATCTATAATTAATAATCTAGATAACATTTAAGTCTACTAGTTTTTGCCAGTAACAATTTTTGAGAAGTGCATGAATTTTACATATACCTGAATAAAAGTATACACATGCTTTCCCAGGAATTCTACAACCAGAAATAAAAGATTTTCTTAAAATTTTTACTTTAATCCTTTTGTTAATATCTTTGTTTACAAAGACATTTGTCTCTTTTTCTTAAAAAACTGACACAGAATTTAAGACAATCAGTAAAAACAAAAAATTCTCATTTCAATGAAATAAACAGTTAGAATTACCTGGAATTTTGAAAAATCTGGAAATAGGAGACTTGGTGCTTGTAATTGTTGTTCTAAACATTCCTGGAGAAAATTGGTAAAAATAAATTAAAACATAATCTATATCAGTGGTGGGCAAACTATTTAGGCGAAGGGCCAAACACAAAGTTTTGATACAAAGCGAGAGAGAGAGAGAGAGAGAGAGAGATGGAGCTTAACGTCCACTCGACACAAACTAGGTCATTTCGGGACTAACATATGGTTTAATTTTATTTCAATAATTCATGGGTTTTCTCCGGGTCCTCCGGTTTCCTCCCACTGCTAAAGACCCCTGAAATTGAAATTGAACCATGTGTTAGTCCCGAAATGACCTAGTTTGTGTCTAGTGGACGTTAAACGCATTTCTCTCTCTCTCTTTGTCTCAAATTTGTCCAAAATTATCATATTTTTCAGGGTATAAGTCGATACATTTTTCAGCAGAAGTCTGGCATTCATCTTATACTCCGTTTTGACTTATATACGGAAGGTAACAAAAATGACATCCCAAAATTTTTGGGACAGTAACTGTTGCCCTACCATACCAAGCGTGTGACATTATCTCGCACACGCTATCATCTAAAACAATTAACTATTTTGGAATTTTGAATATTATTCAACATATCTTGATGTCCGATGGAGCATATTCCCGGTCGAAAGTTTTCAGACGTTTGAAAAATAGTGTAGGACATGTCCGGAATATACTTTCAATTAAATGGAAATTTAATTGTCAAGAGTTTGTCCTCCACTAACGGAAGTAAATCAGATCAAGCCAATGATATTATGTGGTCTTGCGCTGTTAACTCATAAATTATACATAAAATATGTGAGTTTATGGAACTTACAAAATTGACTATTTTAGAAACTTTAATCTGTGAAGCTATTCCACCACCCTGATATTCACCATATTCATCAATATTTGTATCACATATAGAGAATGTGTATGGAGTTAACACTAAAATTACAAATATATCTATTATATATAAAGTACAAATATATCTATTATATATAAAAGTACAAATATATCTATTATATATCAAGGTACAAATATATATATATTATATATATATATAAGTACAAATATAACGATTATATATATAAAAGTACAAATATAACGATTATATATATATAAGTACAAATATATCTATTATATATAAAAAAGTACAAATATATCGATTATATATATAAAAGTACAATTATAGCTATTATATATAAAAGTACAAATATATCTATTATATATAAAAGTACAAATATATCTATAATATATAAAAGTACAAATATAACAATTATATATAAAAGTACAAATATAACAATTATATATAAAAGTACAAATATATATCTATCATATATAAAACTACAAATATATCTATTATGTATAAAAGTACAAATATATCTATTATAAAATATGAAAGTACATATATATAAATGAAATGGCGTCTTTGTTTCTGCACCAATCAGCAGTGTAATTATGATGGACATACATCATGCCAGGGTGCTATAAGGGAAATTTTGCCCAGACAGTGGCATGTTCGCCCGCTTTACCATCAAGTCATGATGGCTTGTTGACCACCTTGAATATATCCGGTACTGAATGTCAAATAACATTTGAAGTCAAACAAAAGACCTGCAACAGGCAGTGACATGTGACATCATAATTACCTTTTATTGTATGCTGTGTTCCATTTAGAGATTCCATTCCTTTAACTTCTTTAAAAGTGACAACATCGTTCGTCTCGAAACCATGAACTTTATTATCTAAACATGTCACAACACCTGGTGATGCCTAGAAATATATACATAAATTGTTTCAACGGCATTTAGTAATTGAACTGGAATATACAGGTGACAATTCTATGGAATACAATTACTGCTTATAGAATTGTGACCAGTAAATATATACATATATATATGTCGTTTTGTCCGAGTGTAGAGAATGGCAATTACCATAGGGCAGCTACGAGGCTTAAATCTGGCATAAAGATGTTGCTTGAGATGGGAAGTGACAAAGGCTCTGTGGCATTGCACTACTACTTCTAATTTCGTAGTTATACTACATCTGGTTTCATGAAACTTTATAAAGAAGTGTTGCAGAACTCGAAACGAGCAACACCAGGTAAACAGCTGGGATATAAGACCCAAGATGGTATAAAAACCTGTTCATATTTTATTTTCTAATTGCTAAACATGATGGACCTTATGAGCTCTTAAATCACTGCACTGGTATTCTAATCATCGTAAAATCGCAGCTACTCGATGGCCCAGAAAGCTGATTATGGTCTTGTCATGTTAATAAACGTCTTAATAATAATTTATATAACATTTGAAGTCAGAAATAAGATCTGCAATAGGCAGATTTAGCTTTTACATAATGCATGCTTAAAACCAATAAAGTGTTTTCTAAAATTAGCGATTATATCATTTTAAAAAAAAAACAAAAACATTTCACCTTGGATAGACCTATATTTTAACTTTCGTCAAAATTGAATAAAAATTGTGACTGTAGAGTGTCCACAAACAAATTGTGTGCAGACAGATGGACAGGGGCGATGGCAATATACATCAACATGAAAATGTGGGCTTATAAAAAAACGATTTTCACCTTGGATATTTTTGCTATAAAAACTTCCTTAGGTTCTTCACCGTTGGTATCCATGACTTCAAACTCATCACCAAAATCACAAAATACTTGACCGAATACACCAAATACATCACTCATAATAAACTAAAATACAAATCATATTATCTTGCTTCATTAAAATTGGTTACTAGTCATGAGTAAGATGCTGGCTGCTAACTAGGAGGTCCCGGGTCTGATTACGGTGTTTGCCAATAAAGTCCATCAGGACATTTCAGCTTGGTTTCCCCTTGTCAGTGGTACAGGGTGAAGGGCCTGGAAGGGGAAACCAGGCCCACTGATTCCTATGTTTGCCGAGAAAGTGGTTTGCCCTTGTCAATGGTGCAGGGTGGAGAGTCTAGAAGACCTGAAGGGAAAGCAGGCCCGAGTATCTGAAAGAGCTCCTTTAATTAATGAGAATAATTTTAATGATAACATACCTGAATGGGTGGTGTCTGATTTCTACAAAAGTCATTGACCTTCAGTTGAAGCAGAAGTGAACACGATGTCAGGATAACACACTGTAATAAAAATTGACCTTGGACTAAAATTTAAAATAGAAGAATACATACTGCAAACCGCAGGACTCAGAGAAACCCACTCCATGTCACGTACAAGCGGGGAATTGAAACCATGACAAATAACTCATGACAGACCATATGATCTAATGCACATGCGTTAAACTGTTCAACAAACCCAACCCCCAACAATAATGAAGTTATTACAGTGTATATAATGTATTACCTGGTACAATGTATATAACGTTTCACCTGGTACAATGTATATAATGTATTACCTGGTACAATGTATATAATGACTCACTTGGAACAATGTATATAATGACTCACCTGGTAGTTATTAAGGTAAGATAGGTCTGTCTGTAAATTGAGGGGTTCAGTTATAGTTTTAACACTAACATAAGGATTTAACTCCATCAAACATTTACTACTAACTTCTGCTCTAAAAATATCAAAACAAAAACAATTACAAAACTATTGTGCATAAACCATAAATATATATGCATTGACATACATACTGTATATTTCGTTTATGCTATATATTATTCCCTGGAATGCATGCTGTGATTTGAACAAAGAAAACTGTTGAAAAATTCAGGTTCAAAGTCTTAGTGTAAAAATAAATGTTTGCAAACATAATTTATCAATTTTTAATTCCTTACTTTTTATACCTGAAACAAGCATGACTTTAGCTACATGTAAAGTAAGAAAAGAGAAAAGGACACAATTTTTTCTGATTACCATAGCTGTGTATAATTACCTATTCCTATTATTCTATGGTTATCATAGCGTGTATAATTACCTATTCCTGTTATTCTATGGTTATGATAGTGTTTATAATTACCTATTCATATTATTCTAAATGATTATCATAGCGTGTATAATTAATTACCTATTCCTATTATTTTTCACATCATCTTCCCGTATAAAGAATTGTGTACCAAGATCTTCAACAGTTGCCGTTAAACTGTCCTGTATAGTTAAACACTGAAATAAAAGGAGACAAACGTTTTATTTTCATACTCCTGAAGGGGGGGTTGTGGGGGTGGAGTGAAGGAATACAAGCCTCATAAGAATATGAGATGGGGAAAGCAAATAAACTGTTGTGAAAATAAAAACTGATCCCTTAGCAGCTAAATCTTTTAGCAGAAATAAATGCCGCTATCTGACAACATTCTACTTCCCTGCATTGTACATGCACAATAATGTAACCATTATAAAGAACATAAATATATGTTGGTCTCACAATGGACCCCATCCCCACCAGAACAAAGGTTAATCGACACCCCTATGCTAGGCTAATGAAGACGGGCACTATGCTCTACCCTTATGACGAATTCCAACTGTCAAGGGATCTTTTATGTGCACGCCAAAGTATACACGTGGCCTCTGTTTTTTGTCTTATCCGATTGACTAGACAGCTGTCCTTGTCAGGCCCTCCATCCTGCACCACTGACAAGGGAGATAACCATGTCAGAAAATTCCTACCTTAATTCCTGCTAGAACAATATTCTTGGCTGAAAAAGTAAACAAAAAAAATCTTTAAAAATATTGTTTTGCAAACAATTAATGAAGTAATACTACCTTTAATGGGGAGAAAGGGGTTTTACGGAGGTTTAGTCGTTCCCTAATCACTATTAAGAATATTGCCAATTGCAGGTCTTTCTTTAGGCCTAAAATGTAATCTAGATTATGAATTAGACATTAATTAACTTATCCAGACCAAAATCAACTCTCAATGTCATCGCTAGTCGGCGATATTTGCTGGATTATGATCCCATTTGCTGCTCGACTTCCATTCATAATTCAATCATGAAATGGATGATCGAGACTATATGTTATTTATGGTACAGACTTTAGTAATGATGATCGAGGCTAGGCCGAAATTTCAATTGATTAATTCTCGGTTTATAGTGGATCAATTTGACTGAAATTTTCAGCAAATTGCCTTTACATTATCTAGTTTTTAACTATTATAGTGAGAACTGCCAGTTCTTTATTTTATCTCCCATAATGTATCTTTAAACAAAAACATTGCTCATTAAAGAAAATACAAACCTATTTCAACTCCTAGTCCTCCCATACCATGTAATAATACAGAGGACTGGGCCATCCGTTTCATAGCACTATCTCCTAGAACATAGCGCTGTCGACTGAAATAAACAACAAGATTGTTTAGAAAATGCCTCTCAATTATAAATAATGTAGCCACTCAAGGCAAATTTCATGACTTACCGCTTAATGAGGAGTGACCTCTTGATAAAATCTCAGCGTTTGTTAGTGACTGCCCATATAAAGTAAGATTTTATGCTTGAGAGCAAATATTGATACTCGCATCCATAAATTTGGCAGTCAATGAAATTCGCTATTGGAACGAAAATTCTTTGACTCAAATCACTGATAATTACATGTACTGCCTACGCCCTTTGTTATGTATTCTATAATATTTATCACTTTTTGCGAAGAAAGTCAAAAAAATTATCGATGAATTCTTAGTACCAGTCAACAGTCAGACTGAAGCTGTAGTTAGCCAGTACTTGACCCACTGTGCCACTGTGGCTGCCGACCATAATATGTAAACATATAGAAATAACATAAAAGTCTTTTTTACCTGTAAAGGGTGTCGTCTATTTCTTCTGATGCCATTTTGACACTCAGTATGATTTTGGATAACCGTTAAACAAAATTCTCCACAGAATACACAACTGAAAAGAAAAAAATGAAATATTTGGGGTTTAACTACTGTTCTGCATTGACTAGGCTAATGAAGATGGAACTGAAATGAAAAGTAAAATTCATACAAATTAAATGCAATGATCAATTTCCTCAACATCAAGACTACATTTATTGATATCTGCATTAATTTTGGACCAGGTCTATACATGTACTTTAAACTTGTTTACCATTTTGAAGACGGTTTATTCTCCTAACCATGGATAGAAAATGGAGCAAAATGTCCATTCAAAACCAAGGGGGTTAGGAGGCCGAATGGTTTAACGGGTGCACTTTATGTCTGTCTGTCATTGGAGGGGGGGAGGTGACGAATGGTAAACATGTGCGCGTTGGTTCAGAAGGTCTGGCATTGAGTCAAGTGGTGTGGTTTTGATTCGCTGCTTGCATGTGACAAGAAGTAGGTTCGTCTGTCCAACCTCATGGATTATCTCTGGGTCCTTCGGTTTCCTCCCACTGCAAAAGACCCTTATGTGCATGTGAATTTTTGAAATCAAATTGAACCATATGTTAGTCCCAAAATGACCTAGCTTGTGTCTCGTGGATGTTACCCTCCAACCCCCACCACTCTCTCACTCTGAGTGAACTTGAGTGTTTTCAATTTCCTGTTTGTATGTGACACTGCTATAGCTATATACCCCCCTAAGGGCAATTCAATTTTAGAAATAAAAGTGAATATGTTAGTCCCAAAATGCTGTCAACTACGTTCCATTTGGAACCGGAGTCTATATGGGAAGAAGAAGTAGAAATATTGGCCTTTTGTTTGGTTTCGATCATGACACATTATACGATTGTTCTCGATCATACTACATCTGTGGCATGGAGTACAATAAGTGAATAAATACCTATATATATATATATATATATATCTGTGCTATAACGTGTTTTGACAATAATAAAAGATCAAACAATAATATAAAATTATTACACAACAATCAGTAAAAATTGACTGTCACTGTCAGTCGTGTTCGTCTCGTCTGCATTTATCGATTATAACAAATAATAAATCGACGAATTGATACAGGTTTTTATATACGACACTCAAAGAAAATTGACAAGAATGTCTTTTGCCTTAATTATCTACTCGTGTAATGATCCTTCATTAATTATAATATAATAGCTCCCTTGTTAATAATTTGAAGGATTAACTACTTACTATAAGAATTTCCATGCACCAATGGATTTTCATTCGTAGTTACTTCCCTTTAAGTAATCACTAAAGCAATTATAAACTAAGCTTTCTTATTGGCTTAATTTTATACTAGCATCCAATTAAATTAAAGGATGCAAAAATATAGATACGTTATCCAGACGCTCTCCTATTACGAAAGCGGGCACTTGAAAAAAATTAAATAATCTGATTTTGATATGCCCGCTACTGTCATTCGATCAATCGAATTTTATTTATATATTATCATAATGCTTTCAAAATACAAAGGAACCTATTTCCTGATCTCACTATGTCATATATTTGAGTCCAAGTTCCACAGCGAGACACAGTCATTATGTTACGTCTGGATAATCTCGAAACGTAAATAGGTCAATAAAACCCCACAATCCTATTTACTTCCTTTTAGAATTTACAGACGGTAAGCATGGATGTGGAATTTATTTTTACTACAAAGTTGTATTTAAAAACATAATTTATTGAGAAAGAAGCCTTCAAGTACGTCAATAATTGACTTTTTAAGTACTCATCTAAGTGGTTGTTAGTGATTGCATGTATTTGCATTGAATTACAGCACTGAAGCCAACCGGCTTTTTGGTAGTTTATTTGGCTTGTTTTGTTAAATTTCATGTGACGTGGCTGTCTTTTATTTTGTCTTCAGGAGTAAATCGAATTTATCGTTCTTTTTTAATTCAATAATATCCACTCAATTTGTGAGATTTATGTCATTGAATTTTAGTAGATGAAGCTGTGTGATTTTATTTAGTTAGAAAACTAGCTGGCAATCCTCAAATCAATTGGAATAACAATGCTGTGACCCAATTATTACCCCTTCCCCCCCCCCCCCCCGACACCCACTTCCTCCTCTTACTAATGTTTTGACAGTTGATCATTCATATTGTGATATTAGTTTATTTTTAAATGTATGTTTAAAATTTAGTTGCATGTTTCGTATTTCAGATGAAGTTAGTAGTAGCAGCTGTTATATTAACCCTAGCCAGTATCTCCGTGGGGCAGGAAGACCCTGAGGCTAGATTACTGGTATCGAAAAATGTACTCAATAACTATTTAGTAGAAGGAAAAGATTTAACAGTAGAATATAAAATATTTAATGTTGGAGGAGGGTAAGTAATAAATATGACTTTTTCCACTTATATTTATGTGGTGGGTTGGATGGTCGAATGGTTAGCATGTGCGCGTTGTATCATAAGATCTGTCATTGAGTCATCTCGCGTGGTTTTGATTCCCTGGTTGTACGTGACAAACAAGGAAATGGGTCGCCTGTCCAATTGGGTTGGTTTCTCTCCAGGACCTCCGGTTTCCTCCCACTGCTAAAGACCCCTATGTGCAAGTGAATTATTGAAATAAAATTAAACCATGTGTTAGTCCCGAAATTCTCTCTCTCTCTCTCTCTCTCTCTCTCTCTCTATATATATATATATATATATATATATATATATATATATATATATATGTATTTATGTAATGTCCTGAAGTGCTCTACAGGTTTCTTTTACTTGGAGCTACAGTAGCACAGTCCGTAATACTAATACACTGACTTACTAACCAGGAAATCCCGGATTCAGTCCTGGTGTTGAACAAGAAAGTTTTTCGGGACCTTTCGATGTTGTTTCTTTTTGTCAGTTGTGCAGGACACAGTTCCTGGCAAGGAAAAGTGTTCATGTGACAAAATACTGATGTCCGCTGTAGAGAGTCTGGGAAGGAACTGAGTCTTGTTGTTAGATGGGACGACAAAATGAGGTCATTTCATTTGTACACATTGGCAAGCGCCTAAAAGAACAAAATGTCCCTCATTTCACGATGGATGGTGGGTGTATGTCGGTCTTCATTTATCTGATTTCAGTTGTATTATCCATATGTTTTGTGTGGTTTGTCAGAATTCATGTGCATTGCATTTTGTAAATTACAATTATATTCAAACGCTGTATTCAACAATAATATTGCATGTAAAGTTTATTTGTTCTGTTGTATTTATGTTTTTGGGTCAGTACTTTAATTAACTGATGTTCCTTATTATTACAGAGCTGCTCTAGATGTTCATCTTAAAGATTCCAGCTTTCCTACAGCAGATTTTGAAGTTGTTCATGGAAATTTAGAAGTTATGTGGGAAAGAATTAGCCCGTATCCTTGAAATTTAAAACTATGCTAAGTGTCTATTTTTGCCTGATTTAACGTGTTCACTTTCTTCAGGGTCTTATATATAGAAGTCTTAAAAATTAGAGCATTAAAATCAGGAGGTTTTCAGACACAATTCCTTTGGTAACTGTTATTTATTCTGACAAAGAGTTCAAAATCCTGGATACGAATTCGGTACTGTCGGTACAACTGAATTTTCATCAAATATGACTGGGGCAATTTTATTTATTACCGTACCTCACATGGAAGACATTACATATGTATTAGGAGAAAAATATTGCCGTTCTGATGTCTAATATATTGATGCAGCAAAAGCAGTGTATTTTTGGAATAGCGACATTTTTTGGTACATGTATAATTACACTGTTTTTTTAAATCAAATTGCGTGGGGTGGGGGGGAATGGTTAGCGTGTGCCTGTTGTATAATCAGCACTGTCATTGAGTCAACTGGTGTGGTTCCGATTCCCCGGTTGTACGTGACAAGGAGTAGGGTCATCTGTCCAACCTCCTGGGTTTTCTCTGGGTCCTCCCACTGTTAAAGACACCTACACATAAGCGAATTATTGAAATAGGATTTAATTTTATGTTAGTCCAGAAATGACCTAGTTTGTATCTATTTCTCTCTCTCTCTCTCTTTAATCGTATTACACATTTTTTTTTACGTTTGGGTCATGAAATATATTTTTTTCCCTTAATATCTTCATCAGTGGTGCTAACATGACACATGCTGCTATTTTACGACCAACAAAGTTCGGTTATTTTAATTTCACGTCTGCTGAGGTTGTGTATTATGGTAAAGAAGACAAGAAGGAACAAAAGGTAAAAATACTATTTTACTTTACTGCTATAAATGAATCAAAGTAACATTCTGCACACAGATTTCCATCTACTTCATACTTCAAGAATGGATCTCTGTCCTAAATGGTCGCCATTTCCTAAAATTAGTTTACTGGTTTGTAATGCGGTTCTACTCCGTTTCACACCTGTCATACACACAAAGACTAAATTAACTTTTTCAATGTTATTAAATGGAAGCAGAATAATATCTGAATGATACCCGGTCCCTAGTGTAAAGACCCCTACGTGCAAGCGAATTATTGAAATAAAATTGAACCATATGTTAGTCCCGAAATGACCTAGTTTGTGTTGAGTGGATGTTAAACCCCATTTCTCTCTCTCTCTGTACTTACCAGACTTCAGGTCGTCTGTTTTGTTACTGTATGAAGGAATGTAACGTCAGAAAACCAAGATGGGTCACATTTCTCTCTCTCGCACACCACAAATAAGCATTATTAAAATACTGATTTAACCATTTTTCTGGCATACAGGTAAAATCCAATTACCTCCCTTCACATGTTGAGCCCTGGTGTTGCTCCGGACACTTAACCTAGCGAATCACAGTAAACATAAAAACTGAACAGTGTATATGCATTTATCTGTATGCTTACTCAACTTGCCAGTGAATGACGCCCAAGGTACATACATAGAATGAAATGCTACCTATATACTGATCTGATGAAATCAGATTAAAAGAGGCAAATCAAAATAACTCAAATAATATACACATGTTGGTTTGGTTGCTGTGATGAATGGCTTACTGTGGAGATTAAAAAATGGTTAGTTTTCATAATGATTAGGAAAATTTTGCCCAGGCAGCTGCACTATGGTCTACTCTTATATTGAATTCTGGGGGGTTGGATGGCCAAATGGTTAGCACATGCATGCTGTATCATAGGTCTGTCATTGTGTCAACTGGCATGGTTTCGATTGCTCGGTTGTACGTGACATGGAGTAGGGTCGCCTGTCCAACCTCATGGGTTTTCTCTGGGTCCTCCGGTTTCCTCCCACTGCTAAAGACCCCTACGCACAAGCGGATTATTGAAATAAAATTGAACCATGTGTTACTCCCAAAATGACCTAATTTGTGTTGAATCGACATAATCCCCCTCTCTCTAATTCCAACTGCCACATACCTCGGTTGTTCTCACCATCTGAACAACTAGACGGCTGTCCTTGTCTAGCCCTCAGTCTAGGACCACTGACAAGGAGAAACCATGCTGGAAAATCCTGATGAAATTTCTCTGCTTACACCAGGGTCGAACCCACCATTTCCAGGCTAGCAAGCCAGTGTCTTACTCACTTAGCCGCCATGGCTAGGTGATATCACAGACAATATTTTTAGCTGACAATGAATTCTGAGTAGTGTTACAAATGTTTCAATCTGGGTGAGGTGCGGGTATGATATTAAAATAACACCATATTTTTGTTGCAATATAACCCGGTTGAAGCTGACATGCCATAAAACTCCATTTCATACATTTGACGTTTTTATTTGTTTTTTTGACAGTTTGGTTACAGCAGTGCCCCAGGTGAAGGAGGAATTGTTAATAAAAAAGATTTTGATAGAAGATTCTCTCCCCATGTGGTAGGTTGTTTTTGATTGATATAATATAATTTTAAAGTTGTATTTAATGCTTAAAGTCGTGGATCATATCAATTTCAGTTTTCCATTTTTCAGACATTGTCAGATTTTACACCTGGCTAAAATATACTTCCATTGATCATTTAACATTTATTTAAGATATCAACTGTACACAGGGTTCCCGTGGTCCTTGAAAATCCTTGAATATCCTTAAATTTAAAATTTCATTTTCAAGGTCTTGAATATCCTTGAATTTCGCGGAAATAGAAAAATATCCTTGAATTTCAGTTGAGATCCTTAATTTTGTTTCAAATGTCTTCAATTCCTTTTAAATATGTGATTATAACGATAGTTGGTAATGTTTTGGTTATTTTTAAGATGAAAAAGTGTAACTTTAGGCTAAAAAATGTCCTTGAAAATCCTTGAATTTGATGTATATTTATCCTTGAATATCTTTGAAAAAATGTTTGACGAAGCCGCGGGAACCCTGTGAACATTTCAACGAAAAATTATATCTTGATCTGATGGCGGGGTTGGATGGTCGAATCGTTAGCACATGTGCGTTGTATCATAAGATCTGTCATTGAGTCAAATGACGTAATTTCGATTCTCCGATTGTACGTGACGAGGAGTAGGGTCGCCTGCCCATTCTTATAGTCGCTTATAATTTTTCGTTATAAGAAGTAGCGTCGTCTGTTCAACCTTCTTGGTTTTCTACAGTTTCCTCCCGCTGCTAAAGATCCCTAAGCGCAAACGAATTAATAAATTTGAACCATATGTTAGTCCCAAAATGACCTAGTTTGTGTGAAGTGGACTCAAACCTCTTTTCTGTCTCTCTCATCCATACTAAATCTGTCTTCATTAACCCAGTCATATACTCAATTGTACATTTAATTAAGATATAAAAATATCAACTGTAGGTTGTCTGGGATTCAAAAGAGGCCCATCATAATATTTCAGCAAAAATTATACACATGTCTTGTTCTGATGGTTTGGTTACTATGATGAATGGCTTACTCAGCTCACTTTGATGTAAAACTTGAAATTAATTATTGCATTAATCTGAGTGACCAAACCTGATAGTTCACGAGGCAGGATTTTATAATATCCTGTATATGATGTCTGCAGTAACAGAGGGTCTGGCAAGGGACAATTTATAGTTGTTAGAATGGGAAGAAAAACTGGATTCCCATATACACATTGGTGTGCACGTGAAAGATCCCTTGACATCTTTATACTTTATAATTCCCAAACTTATAGCTATGTTATCTGCAGACATGCGAACAGTAGCGTCCAATCAGAGGTTGTGACATAGCGACCTCCACGGAAACCATGACATTGAACGAACCATGAACTTTGCAAATCGATTATCACGGGTAGACATTTTTACTGGAAAGCGCAAGACTTGGTATTCGCAATGATCAAGGAATCTGATAGGCTCACAAGCTGGGTGAACAGTGCCGAAATATGCAGGGTATCACGTGAAGGCCTTGATAAGATGTACGTAGTTAAATCGAAATCAAGCCTTCTATTAAAGATGTTGCTCCCTGTGATTTATGAATTTTTAAACATATTTTCATTGATGAATTTTTAAATGTATTTTCATCTTGTTTCAGTTGGATTGGTTAGTGTTTGCTGTAATGACTCTCCCATCTCTAGGCATTCCATGTTTATTATGGTACAGCAGTAGCCGACGATTCACAAGTCATGTTAAAAAACAAAATTAATATCTTTTATATAAAACAAAAAAAACATTCATTTCTTAGTTCTTATTCTCAATTTTTATCATTTAAAGATAAATTAAAATTTTATAAAATTATAATGATTTGTTTCTTTGTACTCTACTTGAGAACCATGGTGGCGCAATGAGTCGGTAGACACACGAGCCCAATTATCCGACCGAATCATTCGCGCCAAATTTTATTCTGTCAAGTGGGTGGACACACTAGGCAAATGCTTTGTCCGATGATTGCATCCCCTTTCACGTCACATGATTAAACATGGCGGCAACCATGTCTTAAAACAATCACATGACTTCTCGATATGAGTGGTGATTGGGTAATTAATTATACATTCGGGCGAATGCTTCGGCGAAGCGGACACACTAGGCGAATATGTTTGATTCGGGGGAAACATTAAAATAAAATTGAATCATATGTTAGTCCCAAAATGACGTGGTTTCCCCTTGTCAGTGGTGCAGAATGGAGGGCCCGACGAGGACAGCTGTCTAGTCCTTCGGATGAGACGAAAAACCGAGGTCCCATGTATCCATTAGCATGCACTAAAAGATCCCTTGGCAGTTGGAATTGGATATAAGAGTAGGCGATAGTGCCGCTGCCCGGGCAAAATTTCCCTCATAGCACACTGTATGGCGTATGCCCGTCTTCATTAGCCCAGTATAGGAGCAGAACAGTAGGATGTTAAACCCCATTTCATTTCATTTCATTTCAGTCCCAAAATGATCTTGTTTATGTGGAGTGGATGTTAATCTCCATTTCTCTCTCTCTCTTATGGACCATACAAGGCCTGGAAATTCCTTTATTACTGGTAGTTGGTTGTTGGGTAACAATAAATTTTAACTGATTTAAAAGGGTTTTATTTGATAAAATCAACATTTTGAGATTAGATATCACATTTAGTATAGAAGCTTGAATAGATATATATATTTATATTTATAATATACACAATAATAGTCATTTATATAAAGAAAAAGAAAGAGGTTATTCCTCTAAACACAGCAGAGGAGGGTTGGATGGCCAAATGGTTAGTGCAAAGACCCCTATGCGCAAGCGAATTATTGAAATAAAATTGTACCATGTGTTATTGTCGAAATGACCAAGTTTTTGCTCTCTCTAAGAACAGTATTTGAAGGGGAGGAGGGGTGGGGGTGCAGGTGTTAGGAATACATTATTTAGGAATTAAACCCAGTGGTTATGAATATCCGGAATTAGGAATTAAACCCAGTGGTTATGAATACCCCTTTCCATAAATAAAGAATTAAATAACACGAGCACCTGTAACGGGGAAAATCAGTTTCAATATTAAGCTCAATCTCCCAAACAGAGTTGTCTTCCCTTGCAGTCCAAACAATCGAATGCTGGATAGCGAGACTTGTGTGGAGAGTGTATTAAGCTGTGACTAAGTAAGTGCGATTATAAAATAACTGGTCTGAATCCGATTCAAGGGCAAATAACTCGTCTTCGAACGACTATTTATTTTATAATCTCGCTCGCTTGATCAGGCGCCTGTGTTAAATACACCTTACACATTTATCGGCTACATTATATGGAACGATGAAACTGGGGTTACTTATGATAAGGGATGCAATGCGCCATTTCTAATCACCCAGTGTGTTTGGCACGTGCCTCCGGGGCATGGCCATTCCTGATCATGGCCGTCTAGAATCAATTTGAATTATGGTTGACGACAATTACGACCACATTTGAGTGGTATTCTAAACTTTATAAAGCGGGATTGGCGGGTCTATCTATACTAATAATTGTGAATGTCGTTTGTTTGTTTGTTCAGGGTTTGGCCGCTACATAAGGTTGGGGCTGTCTCGAGGCTGAAATTTGGTTTTAAATTAATGGGTAGCTCGGACCGGAGTGTAGCCTAACAAAAACACAGGCCTGGTGGCGATGGCCTACCACTTCTGGTTTCGGAGTTACGGGCACAAACCCGTGCAGCGCCGGGTCAACCACTAGTACTTTATAAAAGGGGGTTACAGGTGTAATTCTAATCATGCATGGTTATGAGATTATTCTATACCGTATAAAGGGCCGGGTAGGGGTGTACGGGGGTTATTCTATACGGTACTGTATAAAGGGCTGGTTGGGTGGGTGGACAGGGGTTATTCTATACGGTACTGTATAAAGGGCTGGTTGGGTGGGTGGGCAGGGGTTATTCTATACGGTACTGTAAGGGCTGGTTGGGCGGGTGGATAGGGTTTATTCTATACGGTACTGTATGTGGGGATGGGGAGGGGTTATAAATACTGTATAATGGATGTTAGGGGTGTATTATATAATATACTGTATAAAGAGCTGGGTGGGGATGGAAAGAGGTATTCTATACTGTATAAGGGGCTGAGGGCTGGGTGGGGGGTGTATTATAAACTGTATAATGGAGGTTAGGGTTATTACTAACGGATTATTCTAAACTTCTATAATGAGAGTGTGTTCCACAGACTCGTAGCTAGCCCCAAAATATGTGGGGTCAAGTGCTTCTGGGGACGCCGACGGGGATTCTGGGGGCGCCCATTATATTATGGGCGCCCATGATCTCGTCGATGGGCGCCCCTACGGGATGCGGCACTTCAATAATCATGCCGTTTTGGGCGCCCCATTGAATAAATCTCACTCGGCATAATGCATTATGTGCGGTCCGACAATCATATATTGTCATTATAAGGCATCCCACCAATCTTGTCATTATGGGCGCCCATCCGGGATGAGGCACCCCATCAATCAAGTTGTGGTGTGAATTTTGTGATTCATTATGAGGCGCCTCAACATTTGGGGGTCGCCTCATATGTAACGACACGATTGGGGGCTCCAACCAGTGTCACTCGGCTTCATGGGGCGTCCATACTGATATGGGCACGTTGGTCGTTGGCTTCGTATTGCGCCCAACCCTATTAACATCTCACGACTTATGACTTAACCGTGCTTCCCCTAGGTATAATAGGCTCGGACTTGGTATTACGTGTATAATACTCAAATGACCCCTACATGCCAGCGAATTATTGAAATAAAATGGTACCATATGTTAGTCCTGAAATGACTTAGCTTCTCTCTCTTTATTCAATTCAGCAAACATCTTCAAACAATTAAACATTAAAAAACAGAATGAGGTAAAGAGTGTTGTTGTGGTTTTGTACAAATAAAATAAGCTTAATATACCATGAAAATACTACTACACAACCACTCGGCAAAGCAAACCTCAGCAGATTCCAGTACCGTACATCTCGCCTCGGCTGTATGACGAAGTCCGCCATTGGAACTACTTTCAAGTTCCCGGATTTACCAACGGCGTTGCCCATGACGACGCCTTTGAAGAATGTTTTATTATACAAATATTTCAAAGTCTGAAGCTGTTTTTCTTTCAGGTTTATCCGATTTTCTTCAAACAAGGACGCATTTGCACTGAAAGTTCTAAACAGTTTTCCTAATACATAAACCGGTGCCGCATCGCAATTGTATAGGCGTAGGTAACCTACATATCACTTACCGTCATACAGCCGAGGCTAGATGTAGAGTAACGGAATCTGCCGAGGTTTGTCGAGTGACTACACACCTATCTACTCGATGTCCTCGTTAAACCCACATTACATGAGGAACAAACATGGATTTAATCAGTTTTATAAAAAAAAAAGCTAAAAGAAACAGCAGCAGCACATAAAACGATGGAGGCACAATTGTGGTTCGTAAATTGAAATTTATCCTCTTCCGTGGCGATTTAACACGATAGACCATACAGATCTATATTTCGTTTCGGTTTTTTTTTATACTTTCGATGGCCTACACTACATGAAGATCTGACCGGTTGTATTGGAATGTCGCGTCCGGGATCATACGAGCGGCTTTTGACCCTATGGCGTCAGACATTGATTAATCAATCAGCGTTGACGCTTCTAGTGGTTGACTCAAAATTTCCATGCATGGCACGCCAAGAACTCGATGTAAAAGACCGTTTCATTGGCTAATCCCTCACATCAACTAGAACGCAGGTTATATAAAAATTCTTCCAGATCCTAGTGTAGTAAAGACAAGTAAAACGAAATTTTGAACCATGAAAAACGAAACGAAATAGATCTGTGTTTTAATCAGATTGGGTTAGTATTGGTTACTAATGTTTTCTATATTGGCGCGTTACATGTAATCATAAAAAAGCCTAGTCGAAACGTCGCTCAGTATTAAGCAATTCTTGTATTCCGTAGAATTGTGATCTCTGTAGACCATATTTTCCGTGTAAATTCTTTAAAAGTTGTGTCCCTTAGTTCAGCAGGTTACTCTACAAACATGGTGAATAGATAAGAGAGTGCGTTCAGATTAGAGCGATCAGGGTTCGGAGTAAAGATTAACTTATCCACTTTAAGGAAATTAGTCAATTTAGATAAGAAATTATAACATATATATCAAATATGTACTATAACACTAATATGCATTGGGCTAGGGACCACTGGTATCTGGGGACCCATTGCCACAGCGTGCTAGTTTATAACATTGTTTCAACATTTCTTAACATTTTCGGGCAACCGAAGGGTTGGTAAACCCGGCTCTGACTAGGTCCACATCCGGTCCTGACTAGGTATACATCCGACCCTGACTAGGTCCTCATCCGGCATTGACTAGATCCACATCCGGCCCTGACTAGGTCCTCACAGTGTCTTAATTCACAATATCCTATTAACTTAAACATGTTGACAAAGCTTGTAGAAAAGGGTTACAAAGTTTAAAAATAGATTTACACATAATATAATATTAACTAGTTCAATAAAAGATTCCGTCGCAGTTAGATTCGATATAACAGTAGGCCGTAAACTCGCTGTCCGGGCAAAATTTCCCACACAGCACAGTTTAGGGCATATGCCCGTCTTCATTACCCCAGTAGGAGCAGAACAATAAAAATTAAACCCCATTTCATCCAATTCATTTTTTTTAACTTAGTAGTAGTAGTAGTAATAGCTAGGGATTAACGTCCTCGCTAATGGTTTACAAATAAGGTTGCCTAAAATTTTACAAATAAGGTTGCCTAAAGTTTTACAGATAAGGTTGCCTAAAATATTTTTGATATGGTTGGTTAAAATTTTACAGATAAGCTTGGATTGACTGCAATTTCTCATCCTTGAAAATGTGAGTTTTTAACATTTTAAAACAATTAGATATCAAAGAATCGGTACGTTTTTGCGGAGTATACTGCACACTGATCAGCAGCGAATTTCGCTAGGCCGCGACAATCACTGATAAGGATGACATCGATGCAACTTAATGAGCCACAAATATTAACTTTTTTTTATGTATTAGAAAAATAAATAAAGACGTTTAACGTAATTGTAAGTAAAAATTATTTCCTATTTAGTGTAAATGGGTATTGAAATGAGTAAAAGGCTCCATTCCGCCCGAACCAGTAAGTTCTTATGTAAACAATGTGCGCGCCATTGAGTCAATTATTGATGCCGCGTGATATGACGTCACGTGTGGAACGTAGTCATCTTTTACAGAGATATTAGAGGACTTTCGTAATCCTCTGTGAAACAGACTGAGTATACTGATTACAATCACATCAAATATAATTTCAAATATAAAATCTACAAACTACAATAAAAATATAGCTTCTCTTTATAAAACTATTTGTCTTGCCTTTTTGTTTTACTAATTGGGTGGGGGTGGATGGCTGAATGGTTAGCGTACGCGCGCTGTATCATAAAGTCTGTCATTGAGTCGACTGGCGTGGTTTCGAATCCCCGGTGTTACGTGACAAGGAGTAGGGTCGCCTGTCCAACCTCGTGGGTTTTCTCCGGATCCTCCGGTTCCTTCCACTGCTAAAGACCCCTACGCGCAAGCGAATTATTGAAATAAAATTAAACCATATGTTAGTCCCGAAATGACCTACTTTGTGTCGAATGGACGTTAAACCCCATTTCTCTTTCTCTGTTTTACTAATTAGCAGCAAATCACTCAAATTTTTAATTTTTAATGGTCGCGATCCCTTTCAATCCGGAAAATAATCCAACGTTTCCACGGTAACAAGGGAAACAATCCAACATAATACACGTTACACGGTCACAAGGGAAACAACAATCCAACTTAATGCAGTTACGCGGTGCCAAGGAAAACAATCCAGCGTAATGCGCGTTACATAGTGAAATTGGAAACAATTCAACGTAATGCACGTTACATAGTGACAAGGGAAATAACCCAACGTAATGCACGTTACATAGGCATACAGTGCCTTAGATTTCAGAGCAAATCGGGGGAACGGTTGACTTTATTAGGTCGTCCCAAAACAGTGGAAAATAACGTCCCAGATCCAGAAATAATAAAAACTAAGCTGGTTAATAAAAATATTACTCGCAGTTGACATGCTTCAGGTTGGTAACTAAGGCTTAATTTTTAAAATATAATACAGCCATAAAAAATAAAAACCTGAAAACGTCTAAGTTTCAAAGGCATCGCATTGGGGCCGGGACCTTTAACTATTTGGTCATCGCTTTAAATAGTCTGGGTTTCATTCTGATAAATCAAATATTTTGACTTTACCATGTCGTTCAGCTATAAATAATTTCTGATCCTCTACGTGCACACCCCAGGGTTGATCCAGGTCATTCTTGGGGTCAAATAATAGATCTACATCTTTGCCATCACTAGAAATCACAAATATATTATTTTTGTGTTCATCCGCGACATAAATAGTTCCCCCACTATCACACGTTACCCCGACAACCAACTCAAACTCTCCATCTTTAGAACCATAGCACGTGAACTTGATACTGCCATCTGGATTTAAACACAGCACGCAATTCTCGTTACAATCAGATAAAACAATATCCCCGGATTGCGAACAACACAGAAACGTGGCGCATTGCGTCAACGCTTTCTTTTCTCCCTCCGTCGGATGACCGTACGACTTGACAACTGTTCCGTCGTGCGATATTATGAAAGCCTGGCCGAGCCCATTCCACCAAGCGGTACTAACAACCATAGATGAATCATCAAGTTTAGCAATTCCCCTGTACGTATACTCAGTCTGCAGGCAGGTCTGTAGCGTGAGTTTAAGGTCGGTTATATCCAGAAGCATTACGGCTGGGTCGTCATCGAACGGAATAGTAACAGCAATAGTATCCGCTTTCACTTGCGTGATACTATTTGGAGGTCCGTCTAATCTTTTCTGTGCTATAGGCACTCCGTCCATATCATAAACATTCACAGCCATATTTCCAAAATCGGTTATGAATATTTTCTCGCCAATAACTATTACATCACGTAACCATGGATCATGTAAATCCGGTCGAAACTTGCCATGGCCTTTTGGTATACGACTGTCAAATTCTTTTATAAGTTTCGGGTTTTTCATCTTCTGTGGTTAGTAGATCTTCTATAAAATAAAATATAAACTATATAAGAAAACATAATGGATTTTAAATAATTATTGGTTAAAAGCCAATCTGACTTTTTTTAAAATTTACTAATTTATAATTATGTTAAACATTCATATTCCACAATGTAAGTTTACATGTATTATTACAGTTTGTAATAATAATGTAAGAACGCAGGTTATAATTATAACAACTCTTCCAGATCCTAGTGTAGTAAAGACAAGTAAAACGAAATTTTGAACTATAAAAAACGAAACGAAATAGGATCTGTGTTTTAAATCAGATTGAGGTATAAAATCTAACAGTTTATCAACAAATTCTTTACAGCCGGGTAAAACCCAGTTTTTTCTCTCATGTATTTTGAATAATTATTAATCTCTTATACCTGGATAAAAGCTGACAATTTATCAACAAATTGGTTACAGATCGGTAAAAGCTGTTCTCGCAAAATTCGTTACACTGGGCAAGATCTGATATTGTAACCAAAATGCGTTGTAAGTTTGAAAAATCCGGCAGTTTATCAAATTATAGTTGCAGCAGTATGATAAACCCGGATAGTTCATCGACAATTAATTACAGTTGGGCAAAATCCTATAGGGTATGGAAAATTCGTTATAACTGGGCAAAAGTCTATAGGGTATGGGAAATTCGTTATAATTGGGCAAAATCCTATAGGGTATGGAAAATTCGTTATAACTGGGTAAAATCCAAATTTAAGTAGATACTTCAATTTTGATTGGCTAAGCACTGAAATCAAACTAATATTATCCAATCAAATTACTAAAATTTTCATTTTATCTCAGTTAAAATTTCGCGAAACAGGCCCTAGATAGTTAACAACATAATATATTTCAGAGTCGTAAGTCAAACTGGGCTAATGAAGACGGGCATTCGCCATACAGTGTGCTATGAGGGAAATTTTGCCCGGGCAGCGGCGCTACGGCCTACTCTTATATCGAATGCCAACTGCCAAGGGATCTTTTACGTGCACGCCAATGTGTACACGGGACCTCGGTTTTTCGTCCCATCCGAACGACTAGACAGCTGTCCTTGTCAGACCCTCCGTCCTGCATCACTGACAAGGGGAAACTACGCCGAAGAATCTGGATGAACTTTCTCGGCCAATGCAGGGATCGAACACCCGACCTCTAGGCTAGCGAGCCAGCGTCTTACCCACTTAGCCGCGTGATCCCCCAACACTATATTAAGACAGCTTTTGATATCGTTAGATCAATACCAGATGTGGACACATGAAATGAAAGCGGGGTTAACGTCCTACTTTTCTGCACCCCCATCTTCAATAGAAGGCTTGATCTCGCCTTAAACATGTATTATGCAAGAGCAAAATCTGCTTATTACAAGTCTTTCTTTAGGCCTGAAATGTTATCTAAATTATCAATTAGACATTAATTAACTTATCCAGACCATAATAAACTCTCGATGTCAAGGCTAGCCTTCGATGTTGGCTGGATTAGATTCCTATATGCCGCTAACGGCCGTTGATAATTAAATCAGAAAAAGTGGATAATCGAGACTATGCTGTTTATATTAATGATTTTAGTAATGATGACCGAGACTATGCAAAAATTTCACACGCTTCTTTCTCGGCTCATAGTGGATCAATCTGACTGAAATTTTCAGCAAATTACCTTTACACTATCTAGTTTTTAACTATTATAGCGAGAACTGCCATCTCTTTATCTTATCTCCCATAATGTATCTTTAAGTAAGTACATCTTATCACGCTAGATGTTGTAAAACTCACGGTCGTTGCTTCAGGAACACGCTGCACCTCGAGCAATAACGCTGGATTTAAAGCGACGTTATTTAGCCTCGTTCATCGAATCGCTTCATTACAAATGGCGCTCGAAAGCATTCTGGCAGGCGATTCCTGTGTCAATTAATTTAAAATTTTCATTTTGTCGTAAATATTAGATATCAGAAGCCCATCTTTTCACGGTAAGATAACAACATCAATATTGGTTTAAATTGACCAATAAGTCTTGTTTGCAATGTCGAAGATGGGGGATGATATTGAGTTAGCGACATGCCTCCTTAAATCTCATTCCCGTGATGCTAATTTACCACCCGATAGACTTGAAGAGAGGAGATAAATAAGACATCACGCGATGTGATTCTGTTGTCCATGGCAACCTTGGAATGTTCGTTCTAAAAAGAATTATAAAGTGATAATATGAGAGATAACAATGTTCTATATGATTATAATCATATTAAATATAACAGATGGTTCTATGACATATAGTATAATTATATTATCATCTGATTACAATCATGTTGCCAGGCAACTAGATATACTTCAACCAATAATCAATAAGCGAGAAAGAGTAGTATATTGGACTTACCGTCAACTCGACACTAAGCCAGTTATTTTGGTACTACCAATTGTTTTAACTCATTAATTCGCTTGCACTCAGGTATTGACACGCGCCTTATGAATGACGATATTATTATTATTATGTTCCGAAGTTGTAGCCGGTATACACCGAGGTTAGTCGGGCCTGTATTGTGCTTACACGCTTTCAGAAATGAAATGGGGTTTAACGTCCTGCTTTTCTGCTCCGATGAGCTAATGAAGACGGGCATACGTCATACAGTTTGCTATGGGGCAAATTTTGCCAGGACAGCGGCAAAATTCCAACTGCCAAGGGATTTTTTAACAACCCGCTGTTTGTTTCCAACCGGGTTCATGGAGAATGAAGCGGGAATGAACAAGCCAACAGTGAGGATGATGTCCCCCGCCGAAATCTCCAAATAAATAGATAACATATAAATTAATTGTACATTTATCTTTTTTAAAAGTATTGAGCAATCAAGCTGATTATCTATACTTAGTCTAAGCAGTAAAGGTTTTGAAGTAATGAAGCTATACACTAAGTTTCACCACTCTCCATCAGTTAGAATCAAAGTTATCTTGTCCAAAAGCATCAACCAATGCAATTGCTTACCTTTACCGGGAAATATCAATCATTGAACTCAGTAAAGACATTCATTCACCTAATGAACACCTATACCTCAATTAAATGTGAGTTGTTATGTTCTAAAGTCTTGACCAATCAAATTGCATATCGCTAATGAGCCTACGCAGAAATTCTCATCAACTTTATACACCTGGCCGAACATTACGTACATCAGATAAACTCCTTTTAAAGCCCAAAACTGTTCAACTAGTCTCTTATGGTCAGCGCTCTTTTAGTTATCAAGCACCTGTTTTATGGAATAATCTAGCATTTAGTTTAAGATGTTGTACATCTCCATACTCTTTTAAAAAACCAACTTAAAACACATTTATTTAATCAGGCTTTTAACTGACACTGTATACAATCGTTAACATGTCCATAATATTGTTGTCTATTTCTTATTACACTGTCACTTTGTGCCCCTGAACATGTCATATGAAAGGGCGCACTATAAATATGCGGTAATAAAAATCATTGTAATAATTCATAAAATGAATCTATAGTTGGAGTTTCATCGCGCTCATCCAATTAGAACCAAAGTTATCGTGTTCCAAAGTCTTAACCAATCAAATTACTTGTGATGGAATTGGAACTCTGTCAAGGCATTCGCCTAATGAACACCCACATCAAGTTTGAACATTCTACCTCAGTTAGAAGGAGAGTTATTGGGCGTACTCGATTGAACGTTCCGGAATTGAATTCTCTCAATCCCAAAAATAGTGACAATCGAGTGAAAATGGGTACTTCGGGCTACAACGCATGGGTCGACTGGATATATAAATATCTCATCCAACCATGCAGCCGAAACCCGTTCGTCGTGTTTAATTACGTCACAATTCTACTCACACCACCTCCGTCGTCGCGACTGACAGAACTGTGACAGGACTGAATTCCGCGTCACTCGATTGCAATTCTGTCAATTCGGGACGTTCCGGACTGTGAATCGAGCATCCCCATAGTGTTCCAAATTCTCAACGAATCAGATTGAAATATCTACGAACTGTAACCAGAAAATGCATATCATCGATGTTAGTCAAGGTATTGATGTAATAAAACTATACACAAAGTTTCACCACTATCACTCAATTAGAATCAAAGTTGTCGGAATCCAAAGTCTCGACCTATCAAATTGCTTATCGCTCTGCTTACCCTGAGCAGAAAATGCTAATTATTGTGTCCCAAAACGTGTGACGGACAGACAGACAGACAGACACCCATTTTAATAGTCCCTTGTTTTCTTCGAAAGGCGGGGGACAATAAATGAAATTGGTTTAACATCCTACTGTTGCTCTTGCCGGCCAATGAAGATGGGAAGTGGACATGGAGATATCTTTGACAATAAAATCCGACCGGTGAAGTGTTGTTTTGTTTTTTTTGGGGGGAGGGGGAAGCGAATAGTTTAACGCGTGCGTGTTAGATCATAAGGTCAGCCATTGAGTCACGTGGTGTAGTTTCAATTCGCCGCTTGTACGTGACAAGGAGTAGGGTTGTCTGTCCACAGCTAAAGACCTCTACGCGCAACCAAGTATTAGTAGGTTCTCTCTTTCAGCAGATAAATATTAATTTTCAATTTCATTTTTCATTTTCTCTCATAAACACACAAAAACAATTCAATTATAGGTGCCAGAAACGCCAATCATTCCTGTCAAATTTCATTATGTGTGTACAACTTTTTTTACGTAATGGTTTTTCTTCTAGGTTTATAGTAGTTCACTAATTGAATAAATATTTTTTGTGTTTTAATCTAGCCAGGGTTGGGGGCATGGTCCAACCTGCGCACTGACGATCATCAAATCTGTTATATATGGTGGTTAAAGTGTGAGACAATGTAAAAGACAATAATATGTCCATATTGTTTGGACGCTGCAATGTTGCCAACCAGGGGGCCGTTTCACGAAATTTTAACTAAGATAAAATCCAAATCTCGCTTAAAATACGGACAGCGAGACACAAGGTCGCATAAAATAAGGACAGCGAGAAATATGGCCACATAAAAGGCCGTCTATAAATTAAGGAGAGTG